GTCTACACGATTGTTAGAAAAAATACAGACGTTTACACTAAGCGCAGTGAATATATTTAGGACACGATAAAAAAGATCACGCAATTTATTTAGAAATAAATGGTCGAGTTATAGTAGATGTCTATTTTTAATACAACGTTCGTCATATTATGAGAGTTGCCGTCATACTCTTAGTTCAATACTTTTCTCGAACGCAATCGATGAAGCAATAAAACATGTCTAGGCCTTGATACATATTGAAAATATCTCATTTATACTCAATATTATTTATAATATTACTTTTTTAAACATTTATGAATAAAAAGTTTTGAAAACAGAACTAAACAAAATACGTAAAATTAACTTCCTAACCTGCTTTATTTTTCCGTAGGTGCATTAGCTTGATTAGTCAAAGGCTGTATTATCACTCTGTTATTAGGATAAGTACTTATAAATATCTTCTATATTTGTTAATTAAGTATATAGGCAATAAAATTAGGTTAAATTTCAGGGTAGTTTTTGACTCATACTTTGGAAAAACAAAAATAATAATAAATTATCTTTATATATGTATACACAGGTGTATGTACTTATACGAATACAAAAACATGTAATTAAAAAGATTAATGAATGAATGATAACTTTTTATTGTTTATTTTAAAGAATGATACAGATTATAAAGATTAACAATACCTCGTTTTCCAGTCCATAAAATTGAGTAATATTCTTCAAGGAATATTAAATAAAATCAAAATATGGCTTGAATTTACTGGGTACAGAGGAAGAACTCATGTCCTCAGGAATGGCAACGCATGGGGGGTATCATGGGCGAAACAGTATACTATGTTATGTCCATGGTACTGCTCATGTCTATAAGCGACGGTTACCACTTTCCATCAGGTGGGCCGTCAGCTTGTTTGCCATTCTAAGTTGTATAAAAAAAATCCATGGCTAAAATCAAAATCTACTTGGACTTGAATTATTATTAAGCCCAAGTAGATTATGAAAATGAATGAGCATTGTGTATTGTAAAAAAAAAATATTATTATGAACGGAAATGCTGAAAACGCAAGTATTTTATAAGAACACATACAAAATAAGGAAAATTGGTAAATAAGCTGTAGCAGCTGTTTGTTTTTGTCTTTTGAGTACACAAGATATTGTTTGACGTTATTCAATTCAAAGAATTACAATTTAAATATAGAACATGTATCCACATGTGAATGATGCAAAATACTCGAAGATACAATAACATCAAACATTCTGATTCTGAACTAGAATAAATGTTTGTCTAGATAACGTAAACTTGTCAGAGAAATGGATGGAATTTTGACGTTAATTTATGTTTTCAGTAAGCTTGAAGGTACGGTAAAGGTACGAATGAAGAGTTTGATTTTTACATACAAGACAATTATTAATGAAGCAAGCATATATTTATACTACTGGGAATAACAACTAAAGTGACTATCTAATGAATAGTGGTATCAATTCTAAAATCTAAATCATACAAAAAATTAAATACCAATACTAATACAGTGCGTCAAGCAAGTCAAATTAGTTATAGGAAGTTCTATTTTTTGTCATTTTACGGAAGAAATATGGATATATTTTTTTGTGAAAAATATTCAGTTAGAAGAAACATTTTTAATTTATCTTAGAGACATGAACATCATAGAATACGCAGATTTTGATAATGGTGAAACGCTTCCGTACACTGTAATATTTCACTTTTTAAAATCGTACTCCTGTAATTATGTGAAAATTGTTATATCTAGTGGCTCTTTCAAATGATTAAGATAACAATCATACCTATTATAATAATTTAGGGTATAGTCTATAATATAGTAAATTTTGTGTAATAGTAAAAATATAGTAATTTGAGTGATAAGCGTCGATATCTCTTTATAGACCATCATATTTATAATCATAATAAAGTAATTTTATATCCCGTTAATCTCCTATTATCAACAGGGTATTAAAATAATTTAAGATTTTTTAATTTGATAGACAAAATAGTTTTCGTCTATAAATGGAGTATATAAATAAACATAATTTCATTATTTGTTCGACTAAATCATTTGCATGATATTAAAATTAATCCAGGCAATTTATATAAAAGAAAATAATAAAGCATAACAGTGCATTAAGTAAGAGAACTACAGTCAAAACAAAAATTTAACGTAGACATTAAGACCTTGAATACATTAAGACTTGTAAGACACAGTGTAATATGTCATTCACCTGAGAGCAGACGCTCTCCTCTTGGGTAATTCGAGGTCTGTGTAATCTTCGGCATCGCCCGCAGACCGCCGCCGGCCCCTGTCCGCCAATAATTCTATAGTGGTCCAAAACGACCCGTCCGAAGAAGTCGACGGTGTTCGCAACATGATGCACTTCTTATAGGTGCATGTTGTTCCACCCGCGGCCAAAGGTGCAATGACTGCTGCCACCATTATCGTCGCGAAGACCCACCCGCGGCTCGTCCTCACCCCATACGCTCTCACGCGAACATTAATTTACCCCGACACCTTTCATTGTTCATTTCCCGCGTATTCGCTGCATCATACCGATACTGTAGACACTTGATATGCTATCATCGTTCCTATAATTGAAGATAATTGCCTGGTACGTTCGTTTTCAGTCCATTATGCTGTCAATAACTTTTGAACGTTTTGATGAACACGGAAGTTTAAACAGTTTGAAAGAGACAATAGCACATTCAGGTTCACCTTTTAATTTCTGGTGAGATATAGTTACACCACTCTCCTTAATATATGTGTATTGTAATTTACCTTCTTGTTTTAGTTTAATTAAATGACGTGAGATTTTCATTCAACCTTATAAATTATGTTTGATGAGAATTTGCCAGACTCCTCTCCATAAATTAAACTCCAGTAAATTAATACCTCCTTTATATTAAAGCTGCGTATTTCCCGTGGATTTATTTGTGTGAATTAGTATATAAATTATCTTACGTGTTAAGATATAATATACCCGTGTACCAAATTTCTTTCAAATCCATTATGTCACTAAAACATGGCTGAATAACAAATATTTAAACATAAACCTTTACGAACTATCACATTTATAATGCTACCGTTATCTTGTAGTTTTTTTTTTTTTTTTTTTTATTTTTTGTCGGCGTGCATTAGTAGTTTCTTATGCTTTTAGTTAGGATATAACCTGTACATGTATCAAATTTCATTCAAATCTATTTAGTAGTTTATGCGTGAAAGAGAAACATCAATTCATCCAAATATCCTTACAAAGTTTAGTACTTATAATATGAATAATAGTAGGACTAGCTATATTCTACGGCTTTTTTCTGCGCAAACTATTATATAGTGTTATATATTTAAAGTTAGGATATAACTTATCCATGTATCCAATTTCATTCAAATCCGTTTAGTAGTTTATTCGTGAAAGAGTAACAAACGTCTATTCATCCAAATATCCTCAGAAACTTTCGCATTTATAATAATAGTAGAACTAGATGTATCCTACGCCTATATTCTGCGTGAATCACTATATCATCATATCTGCCTTTAACTATCTGCTGCTGAAAATAAGCCTCTCCCTTAGGGGGTTTTACCAGTAGTTGCCATGCTTGTCAGGCGGATTGGTAACCTCAGTTAGGCTTTAGAGACGTTCTAAGGGGGACGCTGCTGTCCATCCTTCGCCCTCCCTTAGTTGCCTTTTACGACACCCACGAAATAGGAGGGTGGCTTAGTCTATGCCGGGATCACACGGCTGTATGTTCTAAATTTTATTCAAATCTGTTCAGTAGGTTTATGTGTGAAATGTTATATACATCCATTCATATATACTCACAAACTTTCGCATTTATATTATTAGTAGGATATTGGTAATATTCGTATTTAAATATGCATTGTTGGAACGTGCATGATTCGAGGTAACATTTGACATATCAAGTTTAGTCCAACAGGTTCAACCATTTCCTCCAGCGGCGTCCGGGTGACCCGGATGGCTCCAACGTCGCCGGTCGCGACCGGGTCATTTGGATGCCTCCAGTAGCCTTCAAATTCACAGAAACAATTATATGTATAGGTACCATTTTTGTTTCGTCGACCCCATTTAACAATAAACCTTCATAGTTGCTACATTTGGGTCAAGGTATTGAAAGTTCCGTAATACATTTAATCTTACTAATAAATATTATACGTAAATGTGAAAGTTTGTAAAGATGTCTGGATTTTTATATATATAAATATTTTTTACTCAATCACGTTCAAACAGCTGGAGAGATTTGAATAAAATTTGCTACTCAGGTTTTGAATTAATTAGTTTTTTTTTTAGTAAAAATTTTGAGTTTCTGGCGTCTCGAATTCACGCACGTACGCACCTGCGTGGAACTTTGTAATGAGTACGGTAGTAAGGAGAGGTCAAGCCTTATACGTATTAAGGGACGTTTAGGTTAAAAAAAATTAGTGCGTTTGAATTTCAATGTACCTGACTATGGAGATTTTTTTAAATTTTATTTATTGAATTCTTTCAGTCCGGAAAGGGTCTCAGATATGCCAATTGCATCACGGAAGGTCTAGATTGTGGTACTAACATTATTATCATGTACAGATTTTGCGAATTATAAGTTATTAAATATATGAGCGTTATATACAATATATGTACCGTCTTATGAACTAATAAACAAAAGAGCCACAGCAGGCTCATAGGTTGTTTGTGAATAATCAATGCTTAGTTTAGAAAATTAGTTTATTCCGCTACATAAAGATATTTTATTTCTGTTGTTATAGATTTACTAAATCAAAAGTTAGTGAAGGTTGATCAACAGACTGACAGTCCTATCCACCCTTTCAGAAAAAAATATTACTATTTACTCCAGTAGGCGAAACGTCTAGGTATAAATATTGTATAAATAAAGTCTTAAGAAAATATCAGTTTCGCAACAATCATTTCAACCTCAAAACGTAGTTCGAAATATAAACAATTGACTGTTATTTATAACCACAGATATAGAATAAAATACTAAGTTTGTAACTTACGCGTATTGAATGATCTTAGCCTGCCACCATCGGGGTAAATTGGGCAGTTGGAACCGTTTCATTTTCTTACGACCCATCTCCCCTTCGGCCACCTCATCTTCACCTTCCACCTTACAAAATATAATATACCAAGATGTTGCTATTTGTTGTATTTAAAACACATTCAAGGAATTTATTGTTATTAAAAGGAAAAATAGGTAGAAAAAAATAATAAGTTTTACTATTTAAACTACAGCAGCTAAAGATACTTGGCACTTTCTAATAATTTTTAAAAATAGTATGTTGTATTTTTTCATTTACATTTCAGCCATTAACTGTCTACTGCTGAACATAAGTTTTTCCAGTAGTTGTCATGCTTGTCAGGCGGGTTAGCAATCGCAGTTAGGCTTTTAGCGATGTTTTAAGAGGGACGCTGCTGTCCATTCTTCTGCCGTTAAGTTTCCTTAGTCGCTTCTTTCGACACCCACGGGAAAGTTAGCCTATTCTATGCCAGGATCATACGGGAGAGAAGAAGTTGTAATTATACGAATGCAATTAATTAATTATCACAATGTGTGAACAAATACTACCATCACGAGGTAATACGAGTAGACAGTTACTTGAATATAATATTTAGAATTCTGGGAGACATTAATTCAATAATACTCCTATATTGTTTGATGTCAAGATGTTTACTATTGTAAAAGTTAATTAGTGAACGATTCCTCGTTCACTAATTGTGACAATAATCGATATAGACCAGAGTTCGATTCTATGCTGTCCCGTAATATTGCTATACGAATTAATTATCAGAATTCAGCCAGGTAATTGATAGATACTCTTTATTGTTCCTTTTAAAAGATTAACAAACAATTACAAGAAAAGTTTATACTGAGAAAAGAATAAACTATGACTTTTTGGCTTGAAACTATAGTATTTTACAGTTCCATGAAGCTATTAATATCTAAAAAGATATATCTTACATGTATCTTGACCCTTTTGTCTTTATCATTAGCCTGGTTATCACCATGTTTACTGTCTGCCATTTTTCACTTTTCGATTTGAAATAACACACTTGAAATTTTGCTTTTTTAATGTACAGAAAGAATTATTAACGAATTTTACATTGATATTGTTTTTAGGAAAATTTTCTCATACATGCAATTTTAAACAAATAGGTACCTAATTCAAGTAAATAATAAAGATGCCATCTTGATGATTTTTTTAATGTGTGTGACGTTACGTCAATCGGTTTCTTTTTTAAATAAATAAATACTGGCCTTAAAATGTTTTTGAAATAGGCCGATTTTTACAGTATATGAGTAGTAGTGTGTATTGCATCTCCATTTATTATTTAAACGCCTAATTTATTTTAGCTGCAAATAAGAGTTAACTCATTAGATAGTTGTCATTAAAGTTTTGAGAAAGCTTTGATGTAGGTATGTTATTTCAGACTTTTTCAAAATAGGAATTGGTCTACGGACATCGTTATTCTAATCTTCAAATAACGTAAATTTTATAATTATGTCTTTTTATGAAAGGACAATTTATATACCTATTAGTTTTTACCCCGACTTTGATGGCGTGATGGAGATATGTTTTCTGATCGGGATAAAATGTAGCGTATGTCCTTGTCCAAACATTTGAAGTTATAATATTAGTAATGCCAGGTGATCTATTTCTATAGTAAAGTCAGATATTAAAACAATTTGAATTCATTATTATGTTATATGCGTTCACTTACCAGGTCACTCAGAAAGTATTACGAGAAAAAGTTTTTATGTATGTGAGACTGGCCAGTTATAATTTATTTAAAAATATGATTACTTATAAGTAAAAATAGGTAAGTTCTAAATTCAAAACTTCCCTCCACATTTTTTGCAAGCTAATTAAAAATACCGTGTCTCATTGAAAAATGGATTTGCGTCGAGAACATTTTCGCCCCATGATTTTTTATGATTTTAAGTGTGCATTTACGGGTGCGCAGGATAGTTTCACGCTGGGCGCCGCACAATCCCACCAATGTTCAGAAACAGGCAAGGGTGGAATGGTATTATGACATGTTAGATAAATTTGAAACAGGCTCGTCTCGGCGTGTTTATGACATCGTTACAGGTGATGAATCCTGGATTTATCAATACGATCCAGAAACAAAGCGCCAGCCGACGGTTTGGGTGTTTCGAAACAAATCAACGCCTACTAAAATAAAGCGACCTAGACCTGACTGGCTACTTTGTGTTAATTCCTTTACGAAAACAAAGGAGCATTAATGCCGAATACTACCAAATGCTTGGCAGGCACAGGGCTCCGCTGGCTACTGCTCCACCACGATATTGCGCCCGCTCATATCGCAATCAAAACGAGGGACTTCCTAGACAGCACACCGGTCAAACTTCTGGGTCACCCTCCAGCCCTGACATAGCACCGTGTGACTACTTCTTATTTCCAAAGATGAAAAATCAGCTCAAAGGGATACAATTTTCGTCGCCGGATGATGCGCTCTCAGCGTTCGAGCAGGCTGTAAACGAGGTGCCTGTGGCGGACTGGAAATAGTGTTTCGAAAACTGGTTCAGACACATGAAACTTTGTATAGAGGCTGGTGGAGAGTACTTTGAAAAGATTTAATAAAAATATATTTACCTATAGAACATTTTTTTTAGTGTCGCAAAACTTTCTGATTGTCCCACGTATGTATTTAAGAACGTGACTTTCTATGGGGTAGAAGAAATGAAAGTAATTTTAATTAATATTTTAATAATAGTTAAATTTATTTAAAATTTGACACATTATCGAGTTGCACGGCAGGCAGTGTATGATTATTCTGTTTGTGAGCGATCCATTTCTGTCGTATGTCTGGTTCGATCGGGCCCCAGTCGCTGGATGGACGACAACTCTTTCGTAGACGCTATAAAAGATTTTTAATACATATAAATTAACTTTAAATATATAAAATGAAACATTAAGTAGCTGAAACCCATATCGTAAGTATATTTATATATATTATTTCCAGTAGTTAAAAAAAAGGTAGTATTGATATCTGAGACTCGAAATCTTTAATAAAACTTACCTGTGACAGGTTTCCTTTTACTTTGTAAAGTACTTTAGTTGCGTGTATGGGTATTAGAATTACTGATGATAACGCAACCAACCATCCACCTAGACTGGTGACCTCTCTTAATGAGTATATCATTATTATCTGTAATATTATGCATAATATGTAATTAATATTTATGTATATAAATATTAGGCTTATTCAACCAATATTATTTATTCCTAAATCAGACATTTTTGAACATCTCTATAAATTATTAATGTCCATTAATTTCTCTTTTTCCGTAAGCAGGAAAAGTAGATAAAATCTTAGATAAGAAATATATATCGTACCCTACGATACGGCTGATATACCTAAAGAAGGTAAAAACTATAAAAAAATATATAAAAAAAAAATATAAAAGTAATATTTAGAATGTGTCGGTATAGTCGCTACCCGCCATGTTAACGTTCATCGCAAATGTAACAGTCGACAAATGTTTCTGATTACTTCATAAAGGAAGTGAGTGAATTTATTTATTTTTTTAGTCTGGAAATATTTCTTTATATATATATATATATATATATATATATATATATATATATATATATATATATATATTATTTATATATATATTATTTGGATTTTTTTTATAAATTATTATTTTTTTAATAAATTTTATTGAATAAATTATTTTTTTTATTGAATAAATATTTCTTTAGCAACTTTTAATTAATAATAAATTAGCTGCCTGCCTCGGATGCAATAGTATTTTTTTAAATTATAAATTACAGCCTATGTAGCTTGCTATAGGTAAAGTAATTTTTAAAATCAGTAGATTTATCTATTACAAACAAACATACAAAAAAATTAAATGTTATCTTTTTATTAGTTTAGATAGGTTATAGCTAATAAGTGCTACGGAAACTTTCGCAGTTTTAGTAATTATTGTTGAAACCATTGTCAATTCTCCTTCTTACCAGCAGTATGATTGGTACAGTATACTTCCACATAAAAATCCAAAGGCGATGTAGTGGCTTCCCGGTCATGAACAGGACATCTCTAGATAATTTCTGAGGTCCATATGTATATACAGCGGCAATGAGCTCCAATAAACATACTAGAGGCACACAGGCGATAGCCACATGAGTGTCCAACAGACCTATGACGTGAAGTCCACCCTGAGACAGTGTTAAATTAAGAAATAATAAATTGCATACAATTCTGTTATAACAGTATATTATAGTATACTTTTTTGTAGAGTAAATAGGTACTCGATGGGGTACTTTTAAAATGGGATAGGTAACACTATGTAAAGTACGATATGTTATTATTTATGTATATGGATTGTAGTAAGAAGCAAACAAGGGGCAAAAATATTGGCAGTTCTATCAGTTACAGTACCAACTTGAAAAATGTTGGTATATAGTATAAAAAATGGTTTTATATTATTCCTTTAATAATATAAAACATATTTTTTCAATCTTTACAAGATAGAGGTGGTGTATAAATGGATAAAGATATCAAAAACTTAAAATGTAAAAAAATGTCAAGTCTCGCAGCGCAGTTCTTGTACTGCAAAGAGTTATGAGATTTCATGTAAAATCAAGTCCGTTTTTTAGTCCGTTACTTTATCTAGTCAGTTATCTTTTAACAGTTATAGTGCCCGTATTCATATTAGACACCTTGGTTTTTATAATAATTATAATGTCCATAGACTACCGTAACCCCGTTTATGATCAGACGAGCCGTATGTTTGTTCGCTACTATTATAGTATATAAAAAATACAAAATATATTAGAGAAATAAGATATAGTAACATTACTGTTTTACTATAATTATTTACACTTGGAAACTTAAAATGATTATTTTTATTTTAAACAAGAGTTCAGTTGCGAACCAGCATCAGTACCTCAGATTACGACGTCATGACGAGCTGTAAACCATATCGCTCTGATTTTTTTTTATAAGTTAAATGATGTATTAGGTAATTTATCTTATTTTTTCCTTATTTAGTTTCAAGATTGAACCATTTCGTACAAGGGACAATAAAGAATATTCTATTGTATAATTATTTCAATAAAAATATGTGTAGGAAACTTATTAAAATAATAAATATTTTATGAAGAGATTGGATTTTCAATCGCGACATCAATGTTATTGGACTGATGCACGACGTGTTGAAGTGCCTTCGGTCACGCCACATTCACAATTTGATAGTTGCAATTCTACCAGAACTATGCTTATCGACAGTAATTTATTGTCTATTTCACAGAATTCTACGATACAATTGTATACTAGTTCAACAATCCACCATACGATTTGGATCGTAAAAATGGTGCCTCGACGTGTCACTATGTATGGAGGGTGTTTTTTACGGTATTATAAAATATTATAGACTAACTATAATCCCTTAGTTTCCAGTTGGTTTATTTGAGGAGGGAAACTTGAAAGTCTGAAAGACATTTTCTGTGGTTATTTGATTACAATTATTTTGTTTAATTCTGCTACCATTAGTACGTGTGTGAGTGCCATCATTCGAAGACTGATCTATCGCTGTTACTACCAGTAGTTCCACAACTTTCCATATTGTAAAAAAATTTAAAGATATTAATCAAAATTCAAGGGTTAAAAAGTCAAAAAGGGGAAATTCTAGGGAAGCTAAGATTATAGTGGCAACGCATTGAAATACATACCTCTGTATTGCAGATAATTGAAATACTGAAAAGTACTAAGCAAGTAAGTAGTGTGATAAGCTTTTTCCGAGTACGTAAACTTGGAAACTCGTCCAAAATACCGGCAATTACTGCTTCTATAGTAACAAACTGAAAAATAAAATAATAGAGTTTTGTGTAATATCTTTAATATAATATATAATAGAGGTATATTGTTTTAAGTAATTTTTTTTTATACAACTTAGAATGGCAATGAAGCTGACGGCCCACCTGATGGAAAGTGGTAACCGTCGCCTATAGACATGAGTAGTACCATGGACATAACGGAATATATTGTTTCGGCCATGATACCCCCCATGCGTTGCTATTCCTGAGGACTCAGATGTTATTCCTCTGTACCCAGTAAATTCACGCCATATCCCACCCTTCAAACAGAAACACAGCCACGCAAACATAGCTGCTTCACGGTTGAAACATGAATGGGACAGAGGTGCCCAAGCAATCGACTTTTGTACAAAGTCTTCCATATAATATATACATACAGTTATTAAAAAGTTAAAAAAAAAACGGTCAACCCATTGTTATGTTGTGCGTTTGATATATAGGGGAGACCGGAGCAAAACTAGGTTCGAGGCAGAACGGGAAATCAACTACGGCTACGGCTTCGGCTACGGAGCAAAACAAGAAATTTGACTTATTTTCTATTGCTCCTAATTACCAAAAAATTAAGTGATTTAACTTGAATTATGTGATGAACCTTTTGATTATATAAAGTTAAATTATAAAAGTTAATGTATGTGGAAAAGATATGTTATTAAACTGTTAATTTTTCTTTATATGATGAATTTTCTCTTACGTATCCCATTCTGCCTAGGTCTCCCCTTATTTCATTTTAAACAACGTAATATTTAAGTGTGAGAATAGAATGGTAACTCCGCTTGCTCTATCGGTATACGCTGGTGGCGCACCAGAGATAGATGATAGGTGAGAAAGAAAACAGGTCAGTTAGCCAAATTACACATGAAATAACCGTGATGATTTTCAGGGAGAATCGCACGAAGGTCGACCTGATAGGGTCATATTGTTAGCAATACGGTTGTTATACCCATTTATTAACAATCCCTTTTCGCTCAATATCCTTATTTAGTCACACACTGACATGTTATGTCTACGTAAACTCTATGAAACAAATTCACCCATATAACTATAAAGTTGGGGTGTTTTGGGTTAAGTTTTCAGAGTGACACCTACTTTGTCTAGATCAGAGGTTCCCAAACTTATTTTGTCTACTGCTTACTTTGAGAATAAATTATTTTTTAGCGCCCCCATTTTTTCACTTACTTAAAAACCACTATTACTTCAAGATCAACAAATCACCCCCCAAGCCTTTACACAACGCCCCCATTTTTTGGTTTGGGTCTCTTACCACCCCCCTTTAGGCCTGCAGCGCCCACAAGGGGGTGTTATCATCCACTTTGGGAAATGATATGAATTTAATAATGTTGATAATATTTTACCATTGAGTCTATCCCGAGGAAGAACAACATAACGAAGAATGTTACAGCCCAGAAGTTGGGAGCGGGCATCATCGTGACAGCTGCTGGGTACGTCACAAAAGCTAGACCGGGTCCCGCAGTGGCTACCTGTCCGACCGGTACGCCAGCCCGTTCAGCAGCAAAACCAAGTACCGAGAACACCACAAATCCTGCCCATATACTTGTACCGCTGTTTACCAGCGGTATAATCACTGATGATCTATAAAAAAAATATAGCCACTTTTAAACCGACTTCAAAAAAGGAGGTTCTCAATTAGGTTGTTTTGTTTTTATGTTTATAATATTCTTCATAACTATGTCATGTTATAATCCGATTTGGATTTTTTTATTTGAAAGGATATTCTTACACTTTGGTGGCATATCATTATCATCATATCAGCCCTTAACTGTCCACTGCTGAACATAAGTCTTCCTCAGAAGGCTATGCCAGTAGTTGCCAGGCTTGGCAGGCGGGTTGGCAACCAAAGTTAGGCTTTAATTAATGTTATAAGAGCGACGCTGCCGTCCATCCTCCTCAGAAGGGGCGTGTTGCCAGTATTTGCCAGCCTTGGCAAGCGGGTTGGCAACCACAGTTAGGCTTTTAGTGATGTTTTAAGGGGGACGCTGCTGTCCATACTTTGCTCTCCCTTAGTCACTTATTACGACACCTACGGGAAAAGAAGGGGTAGCCCATTCTATGCCGAGACCGACAAGGCCAGACTGGTCCCATATAAATTTTATCAAAATCGGTTCATTAGTTTAGTTTAAAACTGTTAAATCTAACTGATTTTGCTACAACTGAAATAGTTTTTTTTTTGTTAGACAATTTTAATTATCAGTTACGTAAATTAAAAAGGAAAAAGTTATAGGACACAATAGGAAGAATCAAACCTTATGTTGTTATAATTGAATTGGTTAAAACTAGCCATGCTGACGAGGCCACCCCAACCAGGCCCAAGGGAGTAAAATATCTGAGTTGCCGCATCTGCCCAAACCTGAAAATATTAAAGTCTTTTTTACATACATTGTAATTTTATAGGAATGAAAACGCAGTAGAAGTATGGGTACTATGGATACCGATCCGATGTCTATATATTGGGTTTCTTTACACATTTGTGGCGAAAAAAGGTCCTTACTCATTTCAATATTGCCCATATCGGTCGGATATTTATTTTCAAATATGTTAAAAGTCTGTTTCCAATAACACTTTTTGGATAACAGATTTTTAACGTATTCGCTATTGGGACGGTATATACAGATATTGCTATATATTACTTGGTTGGGGCACCATAACTGTTACAGTACTGTGGTGATTAAGTATCGTGCTGTTTATGTCTAAAGATGAGAATTGTCTGTTACTACATTTTATAACATATATTTTACTTATTTAAATAAGTATTATATATAAAAAAGTTTATTTTATTATAATAAAAATTCTATTTATAATATTTATTGTTTTTCTTGTGGTTTTATCCGCGTGCATCAGTTAGTACTTCAGTACTGAATGAATAACATCAGTTATTCATTCGGCTGCTTAAGTGTGATTGAGTAACAAACATAATAAACATTTAATCCAAATAATTTTTATAAACTTTCATTTATAATATTAGTCGAATTAGTAAAGTTTTACCTTTGGATTCTTTAGCTGCTGCCAGTCTGGTAAAATATAAAACAATATGCCTTTCCATGCGCCCGGTAATGTCACTCCACGTATAAGCAGTGCACATAAAACCACATACGGAAAGAAAACTGTGAAGTACACTATCTGTCGATAAGAAATAGATTATATTATAATAATTATAAGCAAGCTGAAGTGGCAATGGGCCGATCACACAAATCCAAGAACCGACACCCGATAGGGAAGAAAGGGTCTTGAGTAGCAACCCGGTAGGGGGTGTCAATCATGTAATCGCAGTGTAGGATGATGCAATTGCATTGCAGTGGGTCAGAGGATGCAGGTAGTTCAGGACCATTCCTTTCTGTCAGTTTGTGGAATAGGTTAGTAGTGAACAGATAATGGCTGAGATGATGATGATATTTATTATAATATTTGTAAGTAATTTTTTAGGAAAGTGTGTGTGGGATATATGACTACCATGTGATCTAGACATAGAATAAGATACCCCTTCCTTTCCCGTGGGTGTTGTAAGAGGCGATTAATAGATCTTAATGGTCTAGGGATGGGCAGTAGCGTCCCTCTTAAAACATCACCAAAGCCTAACTGCGGTTCCCAACCCGCCTGCTAAGCGTAGTAACTACCGGAAAACTCTCCCAATAGGCCTATGTTCAGCAGTGGACAGTTAACCCTTAAATATCAGGTATTTAAGGGTTAACTGAAGTTTCAAATTTGACACCGGGGTTATAAATCGCATTGGGCACCTACAATCGATTTTATTTTAATATTTGGCTTTTTCCATGTTAACAAATGTTTTTTTCAAAATAAATATATAAAAATATTTTTTTGATTTTTTACTATTTTTCCCCATTAGTAAACACATTAAAAGATACACTTTTATATTTTTTTTTATTTGATTTAAAAAATCAGGCTTTTAAGGGCTAATGACTGATATAGTAATAAAGAAAAGCAAGGATATCTTTACTTTCTACAGATTTTAATTAATAGACAATGCTATAACTCAGTACTAAGTTTATTATTACTGTACTATATAATTTGTTGTTACTGACGATCTTAGTGGTGTAGTGGTTGTCTTGTTCAACTCATCACGATGGGCTAACTGACCCACTTCATCCTCATCTATCATCCTTCACTGGTGCCCCGCCGGTGTATATCGATAGCGCGGGTGGGGTTACCATTCCATTATCATCCATTAAAAAAAAACACAGTAGCTGCGGGTTTGATCCTCGCATAATACAAACATTTCTGTTCATTAGTATGTCTGTATGGATTCGAGTCTTTCTATGTATAACATGTACTTACAAGTACGTACAAGAATGTTTATCAGTTGTTCAATACACATAGAGCGGGGGAAAGGGATTGTTAGTAATGGAGACTGAGAATCCCATTGCTAGCAATATACCCAACCAGGTCGACCTCCTCGCGGTTCTCCCTGGAAACTATCATGGTTAATTTCTGATGAATTCATCATGATCGGCTAACTGGCCTGTTTTCATTCTCATCTATCACCCTTCACTGGTGCTCCGCCAGCGTATCCCGTTAGCGCAAGCCGGGTTACCATACCACTTTCATCCATAAAAAAATACACAGAAGAGTAAGCTTTACTCAGATTTGAACTAGATGGCGCTGTTTTATATGACCAGTGGTATTTATTAGTTATTATTACTTCGTTACAAACAAATAAATATATTGTTGTTTTTCGGCAGTCTGAAGAAATGTATATTTTTAAAGCGATTGACGCAGTGGCTGCGCGCCAAAGAACCGGCAATAGGAGACGTAGACCAAATACCTTCCCGACGCTCTTGACTCCGTTACAGATGCAGAGGTAAACGATCAGCCAACAGAGAACATTGCACCAAAATACTGGCCACACTATACCACCGATGTGATTAATATCGGAAGACATTTGCAATAGTCGTATACTGGAAAAAAATATTAAAATATATAATGTACCTAATATATATAGTCGGGGGATAGGGATTGTTAGTAATGGGGTCTAATATTCCCAGGGCTAGCAATATGCCCTATCAGGTCAACCGTCACGTGATTCTGGAAACTTTGGAAACTATTGTAATTAATTCTTCGAATGCGTTACAATGGGCTAACTGACTTGTTTTTATCTTCACCTTTCATCTCTTACTAGTACCCGCTCGTGTTTGTCAGTAGTGTAAGCGGGGTTAACATTCCGTTTTCAACCATTAAAAAAATAAATACAGTTTGTACCAATAGAATTTAAAATATTGATTAAATTGTGACAGAAATACTCTCTAAATGAAATTAGAAACAAATCGAAACATTCAATCGATTAATCCATTTTTCATGAGTGTATACTATAACTTACTATGGGTACTAGTATTGTATTATATTATCTGTACTATGGGACATTCGTAGGCAGTTTTATGGTCCGGCCAATTATTTAATTATTCACATTTTCAACGACATTCGCAAATGTCATATACTGGATAAAATTAAAAAATGTATAATGCAATATTGAATGCAAAATTAGAAGTTAAAATAAAATGTAAACAATATAACATCAACTCACTGAAAGAATTCATCTTCTGGTGTCGTAATTGTTCCATTCGAAGTAAAAAAACTCGAATTACCAGATATCTGCAAGTAAATATTGAATTTACTTTATGATTTATCGAGAAGTTTAAATATTTCATTTGGTATCTATAATAAAAAAATAAATGTACCTCGGTACATTTGTCCGTATTCCATGAATTGTCACATGTTTGCCACGGTAGCGGTGAGCTAAATGAATGATATATGTACAGAACAGGATACGACATAATAGCAGCAAAATAGGTTATTGCTATTACATTTAGAATAATAACAGCATAACCTGCCCCTGAAAATAAAACGTAATACCAGATATATATGATGTTTGTTTCGTTATACGTTAATAATACTGTAAATGGGAAAGTGTTTTCTAAACATGGGTAATGTTAGAACTGCGCCAATATCTTGATGGAGGAAAAAAGGTTATTATCCACTCCGATGTCGCCCTTACTAGTTAGATATCTATATTAATTTGTATTGTGTTCTTCATTTCGACATTAAATCTTGGATAACAGACATATTCGTTGTTGGATCTGTATATAAATATTGTAACTAAAACATATATTGCTATATATTATCCAAACCTAGCTGTTGCCTCTTTTTTGTTTCTTTTGATCACTTTAATGGCTCAACCGAACGTCATGAAATTTAATATAGCTACTATTTAGGATGGTTGAAGGTTCCTATTTTTCCCGGTATCCCAATCATGCTATGACGTTTTTATCAAAGCTCTTATAATGCAAAATATTTTTTTTGAGGTAGGTAAGTATCCCATACAAGTATATTTTGATTCACAATAAACAACTTTAAACTTGGACAAACATAAATTGTTGAATGACGAGATCTTGTATGGAGACATTAGACTAAAAGTATTTGAATTTAGAACAGAAATCTTAAATATATTTACAAGTAGATTATATTTTGTAACAAACAGTTTTTATTCGCAAAGAATAAATAGTAGCTTTAAACGTCACAAATATGGGATCAATATAAAAGTTAACCTTAAATAATTTTGAAAATCCGTTTAGAATTGATGACGTAATTACGTACAATAGATCCGAAAGAGCTCTTTTAGAAGTCACTTAAAAATTAAAGTGTAACACATTATAATGTCTATGTATAGTGAGGCAGGTTATTTGCCGGTATCAATGTGGATACATTTTGGCTGGATATACTGACGTATACGAGTAGAGGAAAACAATTTCTAAAACTATGTAGTTTGTCTGTAGACTAGCTAATATAATCGCAACTCGGTGAGAATTTTCACAAATGGAATCAAATTGGCAAGTAATAGTGTACGGTGTGGACTGCCGTACGGTGAGCGTGGACTGTAGGGGCGTTGGTTCAGGCTGGAGTGAAACACAGCGATTACTATTCTGAAGTCTCCGGTACCGTCTGAAGAGAGTATTTTTTCTTCTTGTCCTATTTCTTCTCGAGTGTAGTGCGTCGCTGCCCGGAAGCGAATGCCGCTCGACGAGAGGCGGCCTATCTTTATACCCGCCCGCTCGCATGATAACGTTTCCAACTCGCGTTAGCGAATCTGCGCGAGCGGGACGGGGCGAGAAAGAACGAGACGCGTGTCTCTTCAGATCGGTACTCTATAGCGTTTATTTATTGCAATTTACAATTTCTTAATTCTATTTATTGTTACAATTTCTATTTCTATTCGTAGGTAATAATGACAACACACAAAGAAATACTTTATTTAACTTACACTATCTTAAATCTATGTAAAATCTATATAAAATAACAGAATACAGAAACGATTAACTAGGGACTTAACAACTATAAATTACGATTACATATATACAAATAATGTCGCGAACATAATCTCCCGCCGCAGCTCTCGTAGCTGGAGTTAACTCGTGTTCGCGTCGCTCGATGTCGATGTGGGCAGTATGATCAGCTTCTTAGTGGGTCGCCGTAGGATGCCCTTGTTCGTCCGCACGTCGACTGCTCGGATCTCGCCGTCTGGTCCAGGGTAGGTCGCCACCACCACGCCTCGCGGCCACGTGTTGCGAGGCAAGGTCCCATCAGCTATCAGGACCAGGTCGTCCATTTTGATGGCTCCGTGTGTAGCTCGGGGCTCCCGCCGGTGTTGCAACTCGGGTAGGTACTCCTTCACCCACCGGTTCCAGAAGCAATCAGCTAGCCTCTGGCTGGCACGCCACTCCTTGTGTCCCGCCGCGTCGCTCTCTGTGAAGCTGCCTGGCAGTGGGACGCGCGATGGACCGCCCAATACGAAGTGATTGGGGGTTAGGGCGCTGTCGTCGTCTGCCGATGTTGACACGTGGGTTAGCGGTCGACTATTGAGGGTGTGCTCGACCTCGACCAGTAGAGTGTGGAGGACCTCTTCCTTGGGGGCCCGCTCGTTCAACGTAGCGGCTAGTGCGGTCTTTACACTACGCACCAGCCGTTCCCACGCACCTCCCATGAAGGGTGCGCTCGGGGGAATGTAGCGCCACCGGATGAAATGGACTGATGACTCTTCTTGGATGGCTTCCTCGGCTGCTTTCTTCAGTTCGACGTCAGCACCTTTGAGGTTGGTGCCTTGGTCGGACCATAGTTCAGTGGGACACCCTCTGCGGCTTATGAAGCGCCGCAGGGCCATTATGGCGGAGTCCGTGCTGAGGCTGCCGGCGATTTCTAGGTGGACTGCGCGCGTCGTTAGGCAGGTGAAGAGCACTCCGTATCGTTTCTGGTGAGTGCGGCCCACTGTCACGGTCATAGGCCCGAAGTAGTCTAGGCCGGTGAACGTGAACGGTCGTTGATGATGCGCCAACCTGCTATGTGGATGGTTGCCCGTTGATGGCTGCGCCGGTCTTGCTCTTCGTAGGCGGCACAGCTGACACCTCTTCAGTTCACTGCGGACGGCGTGTCGTAGGCGCAACACCCACAAGTGTTGTCGCACCTCGTTCGTGGTGATCTCGAAGCCGCCGTGGTGAAGTTTCCGATGCACCCATGCGATGTATAGGCGCACCCAGGCGTGGTTTCCGTCGACGATGGGGGCTCTCGTTGCTCGGCTGACAGATCGGCGGCGGCTGCTATTCTCGATCGAAGTCGCAGAATGTCGTCGTTGTCTATGACGACTGACAGCTGTATGAGTCGACTGGATGACGGCAGCTGTTTCCCATGTTTCAATGCTGCGATTTCGTCGCCGAACGCCTCTTGTTGTATCGCGCGAATCCATAGCCGTCGCGCGCGATCGAGGTAGTGTGTGTCTATGGGGATGAAACACACAGATGGACTATTGCTGTTCTTGATTTTCATCTTCGTCTTCTCTCTATCGACTTTCTTCGTGCGGGTCCAAGTGGGGTCGGCGCTCTCTTTCTTCTTGTTTCTCTTTCGGATGGCGGTGCAGCGTTGACTGGTCGGTCGCAGGAGGTCGATGAACTGCAACACCCGTGCTGAACTGCGAACAAGTTTCAACCAATTAGAAAAACGTGACGGATCGGGTAATGCTATAGACAACTGCGTCGCGTTCTGTAGCTTGTGTACGCGTTCTTCTCCCGTTTCCGCTTGACTATCGTCGCTCGTACTATCTTCACGCGGCCACTGCTCTTCGGGGAGGTACAGGAAGTCCGGCCCACGGAACCATCTATGCTGCGAGCCGAAGTCCGTCGGTGGGTCGCGTGTGGCGTCGTCTGCTACGTTGTGCCGCGTCGGTATCCATCTCCACTCGTTCGTCTTCGTTTCTTCGACGATCTCGGCGACTCTATGCGCGACGAACGGCTTGTATGCGCGAGGACCGGTGCGTAGCCATGCGAGCACGGTGCGTGAGTCCGACCAGTATACTCGGCGAGCGGGCTTCAGGTCGTGTTCTTCGACTGCCGTGCGCGATAGGCGACACCCGAGGACGGCCGCTTGCAGCTCCAGTCGCGGTATCGTGGTCACCTTGCTGAGTGGGGCCACTCGTCCCTTTGCCGCGATCAGCGACACGTGGACCTCGCCGGTCGCGCTTACGGCCCGCCAGTACACGGCACAGGCGTACGCGTCCGAGCTGGCGTCGACGAATGTATGCAGCTCCGCTGTATCGGCCGTGGCTACCTCCGGGTAGCACCGCGGCACCTCCAGCGCGGACAGCCGTCGCACGTGGTCCATCCAGCTCCGCCAGGCGTCCGCTTCCCGTGGTTGCAGCTCGGTGTCCCAGTCGATACCGGTACGCCACGTCTCCTGCAATATCTTCTTCGCCTGTATGGTGATGGGAGTGGCGAGGCCCAGTGGATCGAACAGTGACATGATCGCTCGTAGCGCTTCCCTCTTCGTCGGCGTCTGTTCCCCGCTGGCTATCTGTGGCGGAAGCTTGTGTCCGTTGAAGTTGAAGCCTAAGGTGTCTTCAGAAGGTCGCCATACCATCCCCAGTATCTTCTCCGCGTCGAGTTGTACCACGCTGTCCCCGCCGGTGTCGGAGAACGCGGCGCGCACTTGATGCGAGTTCGACGCCCACCGTTGGAGATAGTAGTTGGCTCGACCGTGGATCTGTGCGACCTGTCTTGAGACGCGTACGGCTTGCTCTTCCGTGTCGAAGCTGGCGAGGTAGTCGTCGACGTAGTGGTTCATGACCACCGCCGTTGCTGCCTCCGGGAACTCTTCCTTGTACTGTTCTGCGTTCTTGTTCTTGACGTAGATCGCTGTACACGGTGACGATGTTGCGCCGAATATGACACTCTTCATCCTATATTCCACAGGTGGACCCTCTCGTCGATCTCCTCGCCACAGGAACCGTTGCATGTCCCTATCTTCTTCCCGTATGGTGACCCGCATGAACATGTCCTTTATGTCCGCCGTGACTGCCACCCGTCGTTGCCGGAACCGCATGAGGACCCCCGGTAGCGATTGAAGTAAGTCGGGGCCCGGCAGCAGCATGTCGTTCAAACTGATGCCCTTCGTCTTGGCTGCTGCGTCGTGCACGATCCGCAGTTTCCCCGGTTTCTGCGGGTTGATGACGGCGAAGTGTGGCAGGTACCACACCCGTTGGGAACTCCGTGGCGGGGCGACTTCGGCATACCCGTTCTTGAGTAGCGTGTCCATTTGTTGTTCATACCTCTTCTTAATTTCTTCATTCTTGTCGAGTTTCCTTTCGACCAGTTGGAGACGTCGCATTGCCGATTCGTAGTTGTCCGGCGGCACAGGGTCGTCCTTCTTCCATAATAACCCCGTCTCGTATCCTCCCGCCGGTAACGGACGAGTTTTCTCCTCTAAAATGCGTAGGGCGCGACGTTCCTCTTCATTGTAAGACCTCTTCGGTGCGATTCCCAGCGATTCGAGCGCGAAATGTTGCTTCATCATTTCTTCCATCGATTGTTCCTCTTCATGTGTCGTCACTATGTGGCTGATTCTGTGCACCTGCTGTCTTGTCCTGCCGCGACTCGTACCGTGCAGTACCCATCCCAGGTCGGTGAGTGATGCGACCGGCTGCGTGTCGGATCCTCTTCTGACTTCGTGGGCCAGCAGTAGGTGCCAGTTGTCTTGCCCCAACAGTACCGTCGGTTTGCCCTCTTCATAGACCAGTTCCCTCTCTATGTCCCGCAGATGTGGACAGCCCTTGATGACGCTGCGTGGTACCGACTGCGGTGATAACTGCAGTCTGTCCATCGTCCGTGCCCCCACTGTGTATTCTTGTGAATTCCGCCCGCGGATCTTGAAGTGAACACGCGTCGATTGAGCTGCGTTGATCCGTGCCCCGGCCACACCTTCCATGTAGAATGGTGCGGGGGGACCCGTAGCACCGATTCGCTCCGCCACCGTCGTCTCGATGATGGTGCAAGTCGACCCGTCGTCCAGTAGCGCGTAGGTGTCGCACGTTCCCGTGGGACCGGTGACTCGTATCGGCAGGATCTTCAGGAACGCGATCTTGTCGTTTTCCCTTGCCGATGCGGTGACTGCGGCGGACTTGTCCTCGACGACGTGTGTTGTTACTTCATTCTCCGGCTGTTGTCGCGTGGTGTGCAGCAGAGGGTGATGAGTCTGCGTGCACTCATCTACTCCACATCTCTTGCTCTTGCAGGCGTGGCGAAATCTTCTCACTTTGAGGCAACGGAAACACAGCCTATGAGTCTTCGCTAGCTCCCATCTCGCCGATGTGTCCGCTTCCTTCATCGTCTTGCAGTCCGATGGAGCGTGTCCCTCTCGTCGACACATCGGGCACGGTGGTGTAGCGGGTTTCTCCTGCGTCGTGTATGTCTTCGCCGTCTTCCTAGGAGCGGACTCCCGCCGGTCTTCGGACGGTATCTCCTCGGCGGGGGCGAAGTTTCCACATCGTGCGGCGGTCCTTTGCAGGAACTGAGAGAGTGTTATGAGGTCCGGTTGTCCCTCCGGTTGGTCGTTGGCGAAATCGTAGTACTTGAAGCGTAGTACCGACGGCATCTTCTCTGTGACGTTTCTCACTATTTCTTCGTTGTAGAGGTAGTGACTCTTGTTCAGCGCTCGTATCGTGGCGACGACGTTCTGCACCTTGCTTGCGAAGAGGCAGACGTCTCTTGCGTTGTCCGAGAGTCGTGGTAGCGCGCGGAGTTTGTTCAGTTCGGCTGTGACGAGTGCTCCAGGGCGGCCGAACCTCGCGGCTAACATCTTCATTACTTCTTCTGCGGTCGTAGACCCGACGAATAGGGAGCGTGCCGCGTCCTTTGCGGCCCCCTTCAAGCTTCTGCGCAGTCTTGCTAGGTTCTCTTGTTCTGTGAGTTGACTTGCGCTCTCTTCATAGGCCATCTTCCATGGTAACCACTCGCTCGACGATCCATTGAAGACTGGCAACTCGGTGACTCTTGACGCTGTGGAGGGCAGTATGTTGCGAGCGGCCATCTGCATGGCGATCGCAAACTCATTACAATCGATGCCCACCTTCAGCACCGGTTCTTCTTTCTTCATCGACTGCATCGCTGCTGCTATCGTAGGAATGGCGGCATGTGGGTCAACGTGGCGTGCGTGGTCCCGGTGAAGTGCGTCGCTGCTCGGCTGTGGCGGCGGCGCTCTCGAATCCTCTTCAACGGGTCTCGATGGGACGAACCCCTGACGCTTGCCGGTGACTTCTTCTATCTCTGGTACATGCGGCTCCATTGTGAGTGCCAGCGTGCTTCGACGAACCCAATCCGACGTTCGTTCTCTTCTGACGGTAGCGTCGTCGTCTTCTACTTCCTCGTCGTCCTCTGATTCGGCTTCCAGGGCGGCGACACGTGCGGCGGCCAATTCCACCTCCTTTCGAAGTAGCTCCTCCCGTGCCTTGGCCAGAGCCTTCTTCTTCTGCGAGGCCGTGGTGCGAACCGTGCGTGCCGTGCCGTGCTTCGGTTCCTTCTTCCTTGCTGTCTCCTCTGTCGTTCCTGTGGCTTCGGTAGTCTCCGTGGCTCCTGTGGTCGTCGTATCGCCGGACGTGTTCGTAGTCGATGTGGTGGCGGCGGTAGACGACGTGGCAGCGACAGAAGGCATTCTGACAGCCGCAGACGACGTGGTGGCAGCAACGGACGGCGTGGCAGCGACGGACAGCGTTCCGGCGGCCGTAGTCGACGTGGTGGCGGCGGACGTTGTGGCTTCGGTGACGGCGATTTTTTGTTGCGACGACTTCATGTTTCTCGTAGTCGGCATTTCAGCGATCCGGCTTCAGAATGGTCTTCCTCCAGCGATCCGGCTTCTCGATGTACCAACGGTGTTCCTCCAGCAATCCGGCTTATAGAAGGAGCACGATGTACGGTGTGGACTGCCGTACGGTGAGCGTGGACTGTAGGGGCGTTGGTTCAGGCTGGAGTGAAACACAGCGATTACTATTCTGAAGCCTCCGGTACCGTCTGAAGAGAGTATTTTTTCTTCTTGTCCTATTTCTTCTCGAGTGTAGTGCGTCGCTGCCCGGAAGCGAATGCCGCTCGACGAGAGGCGGCCTATCTTTATACCCGCCCGCTCGCATGATTACGTTTCCAACTCGCGTTAGCGAATCTGCGCGAGCGGGACGGGGCGAGAAAGAACGAGACGCGTGTCTCTTCAGATCGGTACTCTATAGCGTTTATTTATTGCAATTTACAATTTCTTAATTCTATTTATTGTTACAATTTCTATTTCTATTCGTAGGTAATAATGACAACACACAAAGAAATACTTTATTTAACTTACACTATCTTAAATCTATGTAAAATCTATATAAAATAACAGAATACAGAAACGATTAACTAGGGACTTAACAACTATAAATTACGATTACATATATACAAATAATGTCGCGAACAAATAGCTGTTTGAGAATCTTATATTGTCTGACGTATGTGTCATACCTATTTGTGAATGGGCGCTGCTTGTACGGACTGTTCCATTCGACATTATTGCTTTGGTTTAAATGAAAAGTTATAGAAGATAGATATTCTAAATACCAATCGTAGATAACATATACATAAATAAATTCCATGTACTTTTTGAGACAGTAATTATGTAACTGAAATCACTTTTTTAAATTACTTTAGAAGAAGAAGAGGGTATGTAACTGTTGTTTAGGAACTTTTTTCTACATAGCAAATAAATATATTCTGAATTCCAAATTAGTAGAATCGGAAATTATTCTATTTTTTTTTTAATTATGAGTAAATAAGTTTATTTAAATAAAGTATACTTCTATTCGTATTGTAGTTGTTGTTTTGATTAGTTACAAAATTTGTAAAATAATGTAATTAACATACCTTTGAATAATGGATTTATATTGAAAATGGAGATACATCCTGCACTAGCAAATTGACCTAATGTGGTTTCTAAATAAACTAATGGAATGCCACATATAAACAAGGTCAAGAAGTACGGAATTAAAAATGCACCTGAAAAAGTTTTTTATAAAAAATTATCATTGCACGTGGTAATATCAATACAATATAATATATAAAAGAAAAAATTGATTTACTCATCAGTCTGGATTTAATTGGACTTACCGCCGCCATTTCTATAACACAAATATGGAAATCTCCAAAGATTTCCTATACCGACTGCGTAGCCGAGACATGACAACAGATATTCGAGCTGACTGCCCCACCGTTCGTGTGGACCTCCCGCCATTCAAAAACAACTGCTCCAATTGTAAACTTCACAATCGGTCTTGACCCTATCATTACTTTAAATTGAGGATACGATTTATAATCCGGGTATCAAAAATAGAGGCTTGGTATAAAGAAATACGAATGTTATGTAATAGAGAATGAAGGCTTTGAACAGGTCAGAAGTTGCTGCTGGTATGTTACAAATATATATAAGGGCTAACATTTATTTTATTAATCATAATAATACATTTACTAATTATTTTAAATATTGTCTAATATTATCAGATGTATGTACCTTAACTTCATAAAGGACAGTAGGTAATACGGTAAGTTCAAAGCAATTTAGTATCCTTTTAGAATTAGAATACTCCCTGGATTCAAATTTGGAAGCTGCACATTTTAAGATATGAGTCGAAAAATGATGCTCATTTCATCATCCCATTCTGAATTAATAGTGGAATTTATATTATCATATATTAATGAAAGTTGTCATTAGTATGAAAATATAAATTAATAATTATCTTTAAAAATATATTATATTCAATATTTTAATTTCTAAATACGTAAAGTGTCGATTCCAAAACCAAAATGACAAGTCAAATTTTCAGGAATTTGTTGTTTTAATGATCCAACATCTGTTTCAGTTTTGCCTTTAGTTATCTTGACTGGTGCTTGAGAATATTGCAGGACCTGTGTGAAAACACATTTAAAAAAAAGTTATACAAAAAGAATTGCGTAAGATTGCTATTAAAACTTCTTACTGAAAGATCTCCTTCTCCCCAGTGTATAGCCTCGTTGGTGCCAAGAGAATTATCCCAATGAAAGTGTTGAGAATTTTGGCTCCAATCTGGACGTCTAAGGGAACATTTAATTGTAGCCAAAGTTACTCTCTGTTCTACTGCTTGTTTTAGAGAATGAGCGCTTTTCTTTTCTGGTTTATTTTGCTTACTTGTCATGGTCTAAAAAAAAAAAGAAAATGTTAAGAAATAGTTATATAGGATTAATCGTAATGGATAAATCAAAATAAAATTTAGTATGAACAATTTGCTTTAAAAAGCACGTTCTTAATCGGAAAATATTTTGTAACCTTTCATATTAAATTCATCACCTAACCGCGTTGCTTGTATGCAAAGTTCAAAAATTATTTTGAGACTTCATCTATGGAGAATTTCGTTCAGTTTTACTGAAACTATTTTTGGACATTTCGTACATACCATAGAATAAATTAATCTGATTGTCACGACTGTTCGAAATGTATTTCTCAAGGCAAAGAGATCTGGACAGAATATTCTGACTGCTGGCTCTTGAAAGTTCATTACTTTATTCCACTGAATTCTGTTGCTCTCAAATGTTGTAAAATGATAAATTTCTCGAGAATTTTTAGTTGTTAAACATTTATATATATCTGAATCATGAGCCGATGCTTCAGAGTCTGGTTAGTACATGAAAACATTAAAGGTATTTAAATGTCAAAAATTATTTATGTCTAAAAGAAGTGCGTATAGCTAATTTATATAAATTATACTTGCTTGCATATATTTGCGTGGCGACAGTTTATAATTTAAATATATTAAATGAATTCCAGGATAAATAACTGTTTATTTCTTACTTACCAATGGCTATTTTGCTGTCAATGACCTTTGATGTAGTATTGGAAACAGGCCACTCTTCATCTTCTGGTAGTGGTAATCTCTCTATAAGAGACTCATTTTGTCGAAACATAAGAAAATTTCTTCGTGTTGTGTCCAGTAGCGGTAATTCTAACTCCACGTGAAACGTCGTTATTGCTCCCTACAAAATTAATGTGGTCTAAGTATCATTAATATATTATTTTTATTGACAGCGGATATACCTATATACTATTTAAACTTGTATGTCTAGAGACCTGAATTTTTTTATGGGACTTACCATAATAACGTAGTAGGTAAATAAATAGAATTATTTAGCGTAATAGATTAAACAGGGGTTAAAAATCTGCATGAAAGTGGACAATAAAAAAATTATCAGGCTAATTAGGGCAGAAAATTTTTCAAATCTACATATTTGTGTTTAGGGCATGTATACAATATTAATATCAGTTCAATGTAGAAACCTTAAAATTGTAGTTACAAGTTTTTATATAACAATAAGGTATATATAAATAGGTTAAAATGCTGGAATGAATACCTTTTCTGGTTTTGGTGGTTGAGGAGCAGACATAATTCGGAAAATGGTGAAGTTAAAATATGTTGAACGTAAATCATTAGGATGTGGCTCAAAAGGATCTATAGGTCTATTGGTCAAGAGAATTTCTCGAGAATCTAGCCATTTCAAACGAGGCAGTCTTGTTAATGTTGTACGAGCGTATCCAGAACAGACCTAGATTTAAGTATTAGAATAAAATTACTTTTGATATTTAAAAGATTAGACAGCGCCATCTAGAGATCCATACCTAGTATGATTAGTATAATGTGTTATCACGTACCGAGCATGGATTTCCAGCAAGAAATAGAGCAGAGAGATTTGGCAACCTTACTAGTATATTTAATATTTCTTCAAGATTGTAGATGTCATTATCAGATAAATCTAGTACAGTGATGTTTGGTATACTTAAAAGACTTTCGATATTATCTATAATATAAACGAAAATTAATTAGAATAAATTTTGAGTTTAATTTGATGATTAAAAAATTCATTAAAGTTATTTTTTATATATAAATACATACCATCGTTTAGTAAATTTCTTGCTAGGCCTAGGTATGATAAATTGGAAGGCAGGTATTCTGAAAATGTTTTAATGTTCCTAATACAATTCGCTTGTAGTTCTAAAATTTTTACTCCACGTGGAATACAGCTCGAGTCGAAATCATTAAGGAAATTTCCACATAAATTTAGAGTAACAAGTTTTTGAAATTCTAATAAACCACTGTCTAATTCCGTCAGCTATTAATAAAAGAAAAATGTTAAATATGAGATCAAGTAAACAATGAAATAAGTTGAAGTTAAAGTAATGTTACCTGGGCGTCATTTAGTCGCAATACCGGAACTAATTTTAACTCTTGTCTTAAAACTTTTCTATCACCAAGTTGTACGGCTCTTTTGATTAATTTCACCATATCATCTGTTATGTTGTTATAGCTACGAAAACAAATTTTACTCTCTTCATTCGCAAATTTCTCGTTATCCCATAAAGTAATAGGTAACAAAAGTTCCCATTGTTCCTCGAGACTAAGATTAGACTGCTCGTTTAAAAATGCTTTAAGTATACTTTTATTTATTTTATTTTGCAGCGCTTCAGTAAATGTAACTTTGGTAATATTTCCTCTAAGACACAACTGTCTATGATGACGTGCTGCTAATTCAACGAGAGTCCAATCTATTCCTGTTTCAATACGCTCTTGGTAACCTGCCGTATAATTTATAATGATAATATATTCAGGTTTATATAAATTTATATCTGTTATAGTTGAGGCATTTTAGATTTGTATCATAAAAAATCATATCTATTTAGATATGATTTTTTATGCAACTAGAATGGCAGACAAGCAGACGACCCGCCTGACAGAATGTCTAGTCGCCTATAGACTTAAATAACATCAGGAACAGCTGTTTAGGAATATATGTAATAATCAATAGATTATTTATAATATTCAATATACCTATACCTTTACTTTCTTATTTACATTCTTAAATATCCTACGTCTTTTCTTTATTATGGATTTTGGAGATACAATAATATGCAGAATTTTTGTATTGTTTTACATCGTAACTATATATAACTGTACCTTCTATTGCATTACTAGGAACATATAAAAGAGTCGAATCACTAATTGCTGGTCGATTAACTTGAAGAATGGCTTTCTTAGCCATTTCCTTGTGTTTAGGAGGCATAATATATACGTTTATATTAGTATACTTCTATAACTTTTATATGGCAATGCTGATTTTTTAGACTTCTGTGAAAACTAGTTCAGGATAATGATCTTATAAAAAAACATTTGGCTCACTGTATGAAATATTTACTTCATATTGTCATTACATTTAAAGTCATTACGTATAGTAAAGACAGATATTGTCACTAATCAAGTAGCTGTAATAAAACACATTGTGATGTTAAGGTTTTGATATCCCTACTAAAGTAGTTCTAATTACAGCAGCACTACTTAAAAAAAAATGAAAACTATAAAAAATTAATGGAAATATTTCATTTCTATATTTTATTTCCTTTTCTTACATGCGACATACGATAAAACAGTCTAATATAAATGATGTTATTATTATCACTAGATGTCGCTACGTTACTATTGTTTATTGTGACGTCTAGAACATGTGCTTTGCTTTTATATCGCATTCGCAATCTGTGAACTGTGAGAATTGGAAGTTTATTTGTGACTGATACTTGCCAATCTGCACGTCACTGAAATGTATTATTGGCAAAACTATTGAATCGGCATGATTGTAAAGCAAATGTATCATTCATAGGTTTGGAAAACATTATCGTGTGACCTGTATCACTTGCTATTTATAAATTAAAAATTGCGAGTGCTATCCTCATAGAATCATATGGATCTATAGCTATGTGTATTTCAATTTTCACATGGGCCGTGATTGCGCGGGAGTTTTGAGTTATCAGAGTGTACTTTTATGAAGAACAGTGAATTGTATTCGTATCACTGTTGAGCCAGTGTATTGCGAGTGGTCGTGGTGAAACGGTGAAAGTAACTTAGTAATGTGGCTGTGCAGTATAGGTGACGTCGCCAGTGCACCAACCTGCCTATGCCCTTGTATGATTGGCAACACACCATAGTGTGTGCGATCGATATTCTTCCGTATTAAGCAATTCGAAGAATTTATACAATTAAAGGTAGGTAATGTTATGTTTCATTGTTCAATAAATATAAAAAAAAAGTTCTAATATAAATTCATATAAGTCACTTTTTATTATTAACTTATTATAAAATTATTATATAGTTTTTTTTTTTTAATAGGAACGAAAATATTACTATTGTGTAAATTTGAGCTTATATTGACATAGATAATAATCTCCTATTGTTGTATTTATATTTTTTATATGTTTCAATTGAATCCCTAAGGGATCCCTTAGGAATTCAATTGAAACAAAAATCTGATATATTTTGCATAGAGTAAGGATAGAACTTTTAGGGAGATTGTTAATTAGCCAATCTAAATGCTATGTATTCTAAATTTTCTCTTTCGTATAGTAAATTTTATCTAATAGGTACTTAGGTATATTAAATGTTGATGGACAATTAATTGTGAAAAGCTCTTGCAAGAGATTAGAGATTTAGTTTCATATATATGCTGGAGTAATATTTAAAAATGTACCGTTATTTTTATTAATTAAATTACAAATAGGGTTTCTACTACAAAATATGGACCCCGCGATGAGAAACAGTAAAATAAAAGTATTTAAAAAGTAAAAGTTGAAGGAAATCTGCTCGAAACTAATAGGATTAATAAAAGAAGAATGATTCCGGAAGTTATATTTATTAGATTTTAAAAATATCGAAGTCTAGTAGTATATTAAAATTTTGAATGAATTAATCCAGGTGGTTTTTGATCGGGTGTTCACATCAATTTTTGCAACATAAGTACGATGATGACCAATGAAATGATACGAGATAACTGAATTTGGTGTTCAGTTGGGTTTTAAAATGGTCATTACAAATTAGAATGACCAAGAATAGCTATCAATAAAAAGATATAAATAAGTATTTAAATTTCCGAAACTCGATGCCGTTAAAGGATGCTGTTAAAATGTACCTATATGTCTGATTATTTTTACAATATCTGATTATTATGAAAAAGTACCTAATTAATAATTAAGCTTGGAGTGCTCATAATAAAAGAGTAAAGCACAATCTGCAGCCGGCCGAGTTTGTGCGAGTCCGTTGTGTTAGATTGAATATAGGAAATAATTAAGTTCTAAAGGGAAGGCGGAAATCAGAGTTACGAACTGAAGGGCGAGAAGAATAAAATAACGGAATTTCACATGAAAAGGGAAGTAAAATGCAAAAATTAAACAGTGTCATTGATACATTCAAATAAAAAAAAAGAAAACTATTTCAGAAGTATTTAGTAGTAGGATAAATGTTTCAAATCTGCCCAATTTCCTCTCCCAATATTTTTATTTGAAAATGAATAAATCTCATCATTGATTTATGAGATAGTTCGTATATTCATGAAATATATCGAATTTAGAATGCCAAATCGTGTACACAAGATTTTGCAGTATAACGAAAAACTTGTTGTTTTGTATAATTGGGACAAAATGAATATACCATCACGAGAGTAAACGGTATTGATTGCCAAAAAGTATTATCATTATTATTGGCGAAGAAATAGCGTAACTTAAAATGTGTATGTGAACCGAAAACCTTTTTTTTGGATGTTGCTTAAAATCCGGTTGCAATTTTGTAATTTATCTATGTATTAAATATATACTTCTGTCCCGAGTTTAGAGCGTGCTAGAATAATAAATATACAAACTGTAAGATCACAATTTATCGAACCTTTTAGATGATAAGAGGTAATAAAATATATCATTTCCATACGTAGATACGCGTAATGTACAAGAAAACTATCGAGATTCAAAATAAATAAAAATACATAGTGTATTTTATTGTCAGTGTTTACCGCCTATTTTTAAATATGTATTCGCACTTATATATAATGTTTATTTTTATCCGTAATTTTGATACCTAAATATCCAGTTTTATGTGAATATTACAGGAAAAATAAAACAATATATTTACTAGTAGTAGTTTTTTGAGAAATTATAAATAAATCTCCAAAACAAACTTAATTTTGCAATCGGGTTTTTAGCCACATTTACGGCTTAAATATAGAATTACTAATTTAAATAACAATAATAATTATTATTAGGTGTGTATTTCATATAAAAAAAACGCAATTAAGACATAATTTTGCATCATATTTTATTAATTACATATATTTAATTTTTCAATACATTTTTAGTACTATATTTAGCCAATAGATGGGGTTTGTTAAAATTATGATCGCAATGTTATATTTTTACAGGGTTTGTTTGTTTTTGGTATGTTGGTATGTTTTTACTATGCATTTTTTATTTAAAAAGTTTTACTTAGGTACCGATAGAATTTTATATGCTACGGTAATTACGAGTTTTCAATACGTTCATTTTATGATGGATAATTATTTTTATTTTTCTTGCTATTTCGGTGTATTTTTTAAGTAAAGGCGAGTGTATAACAAATTCAAATATTTTTATAAAGGGTACAAAACTTTTTTTAAAGATAGACGAAATTCTCGGCGAGTAAGTTCCATATTTTATAAGATGTAAGTTCTATACTATATTCGACCGGTTTTCAACATTGTTAAAAATTACTGTATTGTTGTATATTTTAAGTAGATCGAATTCAAATGGCCATTTTATTATTAATCCTTTGATAAATCTGTTGGAGTAATAAATAAAAATTTTAATTATTAAATCATTAACCATTAAAAGAGTAGAGTAGTGGGGTAATGATGGTATTGAAACATGTTTTTTTTTGTAGTGACCTTGAATATAATACAAGCTTTTGACCTTGAAGAAAGTAAGTGCGAGTCTACATTTTGAATTAGTGTGTAATGAACTCTTTTTCATAAAATAATATAATAATGCTCTATTTTACTTATTACAAAATATTTAAGACAAATTAGTAAATGTTAAAAAATACAAAAATTATAAGACGCATATGAGCATAATGATTATTTCACAAATAGATTTCTTTTAGTGAACTATATTACTGCATTAATTATAAGTATAGGTATAACATATAATTTACTATGCAGTGTCTATTAGCGACAAAACATCTTGTTATTATGCGCTTACAATTGTAAACTAATTACTACAGTGTCTTATTAGTTTTGTGTCGTGTGAAAAGTTAATTAATGGACTTTAGACTGTCCATACTAATTGAGGCCTCTCAGACGTTGCAGGTCTCTGCCCACCAGATAATTTTAATAGAATATGTATGTATAATCAAAATAAACTTCTAATCTTAGATTATAACCTCTTTATGTAGCGTTGAGTATCAAAAAACAACGCCAAGTTGTATATTTTTTTAAAACAAAGTATTTGAAGTTACATTTTATGTATATATAATAGAATGATAAACAAGCTAACAGGCCATGTGATGGAAAGTGGTAAACATTGCTTATATACATTTTTATTTATACCGCAAAGGTGACAAACAAGCCATACATAAACAGCACCATAGACACTGATGCTCATGATATACCTCATGTATTGCTATTTCTGAGAGCTAAAGTGGATTAAAGTCTAAAGTTTCTGTACACTGTAATTTCACTTCCGTATCTTACCCATAAAACCCAAACAAAGCTATAAAATTACAGCTACATTACTACAACTAGAGGGAGATTTTGTACTAAAAACATCTGTTTGGGTATCTCTGTCCCAGTCACGTCTTATTTTATTAATTTAACGATCTAAGAATGGGAAGCAACGTCCCTATTAAAACACCAAAAAAAGCCTAACTACGGTTGCCTACCTGTCAGACGACCGCAACTACTAGCAAAACCCTCTTTATGGGGTCTATGTTCAATAGTGGACAGTTAACGGCTAATATAATGATTCTGACGATAGGGTGACAGTTACCACTTTCCATCAGATGGGCCGTCAGCTTATTTGCAATTCTAAGTTGCATAAAAAAAGCTGCTTATTTTTTATTGTAAAAACACAAGTGACTGTCGCAGACTTTGTTGCAAATGATAACAATAATAATTTGGTATATTATTCCTATTAAACATAGATTGAACGTAAGTACGTTATATTAAGTCTATAGATTGGATTGATTGACCGTCTCTAAGCGCAATCTATCTGTGTAGTCTGTCATACAAGTTGGCTCAGATGGAAAAATGAGCTGTTTATGGACGAAGCCTTTGTAGAGACGCTCTATCTAGATGTTTATTTGTCTATTGCTAATATGTTTCCCATATTTAAATATTTTTCATAATTAAAAAGTTAACAAGTAATAGTTACTTTTGAAACGTCTGCAATAAAAAAACGGGTATATAGGTACTGTTTACCTGTAAACGCAACGTGTTAAGTCCCGATTATTAATTTAAAATACGTAACAAGTAATAATTTTAAAAAGTTAAATATTTTTTCGAATCCTAAATGGATCTGAAACCATTCTACCTAACTGTATGTATATATTTCTTTATTTTAAAAATAATTGCGAGAGTCACGTCTACAAGGGTGGTACAATGACATGCAGTCTACCATTGGATTTGTTCCAAAGATCCAATACGTTTTTAATATCTGTGGGTGTGTTCCTAGGATATAATTAATTACGTTGCGGTACTAATACTTAAATAGACTCTTATATGTACACTGATGCATTCATTCGTGTGTATCAGCCGTTAACGGCCCACTGTTGAACATAGGTCTCTTCCATAAGTGGGTTTTACCAGTAGATCCACGCTTGGTAGGCAGATAGGTAACCTGTAGTTAGAGTTTTGGTGATGTTTTAAGAGAGATGCTGCTGCCCATCCCTTGACCATTAAGTTGCCTTAGTCGCCTCTTACGATACCCACGGGAAAAGCCAAGGAGTAGTCCATTCTATGCCGAGACCACACGGCAAATGTACTGCTTTTTTATAGTAATAGATTGTAGATTTTTATTTTAAAAAGGAGAAACATAGTAAATAGATCTTATTTCTTATATTAGTTTTTACAAGTATATATGCAGTATCTTATTTAATTATAAATCAATTTTGATGATTCTTTATTTAATCGAATTAGTCCTTTGTTTAATTACTTTTTAAGTCTTTAAATGTATCGTGACATAAAAACACTCCAATTTTTAATATTAAAATCATAAACTTTTTATTATTTGTATTTATTAATATAAATGTGAAAGTGACTGTCTATGAATTACCTCTATACCTTAACAGTTTAGTTAATTATCTTGAAATTTAGTATACATAATGTAGTAATTGGGATGGAAGAGGACATTAGACTACTTTTTACTCCAGTCAATTAACTCATCCCAATTCTGAGTACGAAGTCACGGGTAAAGATTAGCTAGAGGAATATTGTTATCTTCGTTTGTCTATTATATTAACCAGTTTCAAATACCGGAATTGTACTGTAAACATCAAAAGGCATATTATTATGTGATATTAGGCACCTACCTGTATATTTATTATTATGAAAGCAAATCGCAGATTGCAAAACAGAATCTCTCTTTGATAGATTTTATTTATAACTCTCATCGGTAATAAAGAAAAGACTTATTATTCAAATTAGGTCATGTGTTGACGTCAATCGATATTTTTTTTTTTATTAAAAACTTGTATTTGTGCAGTATTAAGTTTATTCCACTGATTTGCTCATGTCACAGAGTATTATAATATTATAGGATGATACTATGAATTAGGACATAAGTAACCTATATGTTTTAATGATCGATATGATTCATCTATGTATCAAATATCTGTATCTATTTGATTGACTATATACGAGTATCTTTATAAACTTTCATATTTATTATATGAGTTTTACCTGGCGGTTTTATTCTTTTATTAGAAAGTACTACTCTTTGTATTGTAATCCAGGATATTATTGCAATTTGAAATAACAAACAAGTTGACGGCCTCACTTGATAAAAAGTGATAACCGTCACTTTTTTTTACCACTGGGGTGGCAAATTAACATACGGCCCACCTGGTGGTAAGCGTTTATTGGAGCCCATGAACGCCTGTAATACCAGGGAGGAAACCTCTTTATCCCTTTTTTGAAAAACTCCCTTGTAGTCTCACATATATATACATATGACTAGTATGAACACCATAATGCACATTGTGGCGCCCTTCACATTTCTTATAATTTTCCATTATTGATGACCAATGTATTTGTGTGTGTGATGTGTCATGCTTCTATTATTGTAACAAATATTTGCATACTGAATTTTTTTTTAAATATTAAGATACAATTATTGTTGTTGCAGTTAATTATTCAAGATGACATTCACAATGGAAGAAGGCGGATTCGGGGTAGGAGACTATGTGGCTTTCGGGGTTTTGTGCGTTGCGTCCTGCGCTGGTGGGATGTGGTACAGCGCCGTCGGCTCACGAGCTAAAGCCGTGGTGGACATCAAAGATTATCTGCTCGGAGGACGAGCGATGTCCACATTTCCTGTTGCAATGTCACTTATAGCCTCGTAAGTAAATCTTTATTTTTTTGTTGTATGCCATTTGTACATAATAAGATAGGTAATATCAGTACCAGGTATCAGTACTATATCAGTACACTAACAGTATTAGGGAGCAATTTTTTTAATTTTTTATAGCTTATATGTTGATATAGATTTAGCTCAATATATAGTAAAAAAAAATTATTACAGTCAGTTTAGTTGTTTTTCGTGGAATGCTAACAAATAAGCAAATACACACACAGAAAACTTTCGTTTTTAATTCAAAATTGTATACTCATAAATTATATTTTCGAAAATATTTAATACACAGTTTTGATTTTGCTACGAAATTATTATACCGACGTTAACAAGAAAAAACGGTATCGGTTTACTGGGCTTGACAAGACATGTTGCTTTTTCAGTTTACTACTATTTACAATCGTATATAGCGTTCTGGTTACATGATTTAGGGTTATCATCACTGTTCTATCACCGTACCACTTGCTAAAGTTCTGAAGTTCATTCACATTTTTTTGTGCGTGAAATATAATTTCTGTGTATATATCACGCTTGTTTTTCCTTCGCATACATGTATTGTGCACTAAGCTCCTAAGGATGCTACTATGTGAGTTCTTCCAAAAAATGCGTTTACATGTTTTTGAAAAGACTGGTAACAATTTAGCGAACTTCTTCGATTTACATGTGGTCGTGGACGACGATAACCACTTTCCATTAAGTGGACCATCAGCATATAGTCAGTATATATATATTCAATCCATTGGCAATGACTTAAACATTTTTTGTTTATTATTACATACTTAGGTATTTACTTTTTTGTTGCCAACGTGCAAACTGCAGATGCCATTGCGATTAATAGACATACTATTAATCGCCACGGCATCTGCGCTAAGCATATTCTATAGAATGTGTTTATTGATTTAGTTATACTATTTTGCAATTAATAATTTACAAGGTTATTTTTATACCGGATTTTTTTATTTAGTTACTAGGCAAATTTTGTGTCGAATAGGGATTTTACAAATTCATCATTCTAATTATAAATTAACTCATTTTATTGACGGATTTGTGAATAAAAATGTAATTACTGAAGGCAAGACTCATGACGTAGAGCATAAATAAGTTTCATTTGGCAACCGTTTAATTCGCATTTAATTGGTTATATCTTTAGGTCAATGAACTTGGTATCTGCAGGCAGGTATAAAAATAAGGTGCCATTTACATACCATTAAAATTTAGGTCTGATAGTTATTTGGAATTTAGACTCATGGAATTGAATTGGAAATTTTTCTATTAAGAACTATTTAGGATTTTTTTTCGGATTATGGTGAAATGGTAACCTCGCCTGCGCTATTGGTGTATAGCGTATGGCTATTGGTGGTGCGCTGGCGGAGCACGTGTATATATATATAAGTGTGGGTTGATAGATAAGGATAAAAGCAGATCAGTTGGCCCATTCGACACGAATTCTGCAAGAATTAACCATGATGGTTAATTAACCAGTGGGAGCCGCGTGGAGGTTGACCTAACAGGGTGTATTTCTAGCAATGAAGCTGTTAGACCGCATCACTAACAATTCCTTTTCCTCTACCTATTTAGGTTGGGTAATTCTAAAAAAGTTTAAGAAATGAAATTCGAAATTTTTTAAGACATTTTTTGACTTCAATATATGAGTCCCTATTTGGGAGATTAATTTTATCTTGGCGTGAAGATAAATATCTTCACGCCAAGTCCATTGCGGGAGAGACAAAGACAATCGATTGAATTGGATGAGAGATAAGATAGTTATTTACTATAAGATGATTATTTTATAATTAATTATCTGTATTAAAATGTCATTATTAAATAGTTACATACCTACTATGATTTCAATGCATTTTAAAAAAAGGGGAAATGTAACAGTGTTGCTTTTGATTAAAATATATTAAATACATTGTGAAACTAATTGTAATACACATATTAAGTAGTTAACAAATATCAAAATATCTTTTTAAACTTTCACATGTATAATACAATCACATAATACATAAGGAGATCCACAAAATTTAACATCGTGATGTCACAGATAATATAATATTATACTAGGTGATAAATAGGCTGTATACCTACGTGTAAAGCAAATAAAGATGTTTCTAAATTACCATTATTGAAACAGCCTTGTAAAATTTGTTAATTGAATTTGTCTTACTAATAATGTAGATAATATGTAATTGTTAATTCAGTTTTATTTTATTTTAACTATAAATGTAAATGACAATGTAAATAATTAGACATTTTTTATGTTAATAGTATGTCAATTTATCAAGCTAGTAGACCTTATTTCACGAAACCATTGTAGTAAATTATGGCAGTTAAATATTAGTAAGTTTATAGCTAATTATGTACTTATTAAATATAATTATCCATGTGATGCCGTGTGATCCCAGCATAGAATGGGCCACCCCTTCCGTTCCTGTGGATGTCGTAAGAGGCGACTAAGGGAGGGCGAGGGATGGCCAACAGCGTCCCTCTTAAAACAATCTCAAAGGTCTAACTGCGCTTGCTAACCCGCCTGCCAAGCGTGGCAACTACTGGCAAAACTCACATTATGGGGAAGGCTTATGTCTAGTAGTGGACAGTTAACGGCTGAAATAATATTCCATATGACGATTTGTATAAAAAAGAGCAATACGTAATTATGCATATTTATGTTATATTAGAAAGAATAGTTTCCAATTTAAATTTTAAAAATCGACCTTACATGAGTAATATTTAATCCAATTTTGCAACATTTGCTACACTGAAAAAATTGCTCATTTAAAAAAAAAATGTGTGTTAAATGTCAAATAGAGTCAGCCAAATGTCGATTTAGCTGACTAAATATTGACATGTTTTTGACACACGCTGATCTATCTATATAATTTAAGACCCGCCGGTACTTAATCTACGAATTATATATTGTAACGAAGTCAAACTATTTACTATTTTTTATTGTTGTACCACTATTAGTGAATAATTATAAGTACTTGTTTGTAATTAAGTGCAAGTATTCATATATTTTTTTAATGGATGATAATGGAATGGTAACCGCGCCTGCGCTAACGGTATACCCTAGCGGGGCTCCATTGAGGGATGATAGTTGAGAATAAAAAAAGCAGATCAGTTAGCTCATCGTAATGTAACTGTAGTCTATACATGCATATAAACAGTATCAAAAATATAATGATATTGGTGAAAAAACCTTCAAAATTTAGAGATTATTATTTTTAAGTTTTAAAAAAGATTTTAAGTATTGTTATATAATTACTGTTGTTATAATATTGTTATATTATTCATTTTTGTTACAATGTTAATAAAGAATTTATTTTCAACAGGTACGTATCAGGAGTGACAATTTTGGGAACACCGGCTGAAATCTACAACTACGGTACACAGTACTGGCTTGTAGTGGTAGGGGTGACGCTTAGCTGTATTGTGGTCGCCACAGTATATTTACCAGTATTCTGCACCCTGAGGCTGTCCTCCTCATATGAGGTAAGAAGCTTGGAACGGCTAAAAGATGATGGACCACTTAATGGAAAGTAGTAACTAACGTTTGCAGACGACACAGGCGTTATAGACATCACAAAATACATTGGGAAACTCATACAGTACAGTATACTAGCAAATTGCACCTTTTTAGGGCTTAGAGGTTGACTGAGTAATTTCACTTCTTTATGTCACCCTTCAAACTAAACATAATTATGTAAGCAAACATTTATACTGAAAGATGCAAAGCAAAACAATTAAAAAATATCTTTAAATTTCAATCTTCCTATGGTAATGGAGTAAGAATATATAACGCGCATGTGTAATAAAAAATATTTGTGACTCTTACAACAAGCTCTTTTATTTGAAGTGTCACACGATATAATTTGTTTTTTTTTTTTTTATAATTTTCTAGTTTATCTCCCCAAAAGTCGGTTTTTATATATCATACGTCCGTTTTTGGGTCACACTCTTACATGCGTGTACTAAATTTCAACTTATTAATTCCATTAATTTCGAAGCAAGTTGGCTGTGACAGACAGATGGACAGATTGACACGCGAGTGATCTTATAACGGTTCCATTTTTCCTTTTGAGGTAGGGAACCCTAAAAAATATTCAAAAGGTTTCGTACACAAAACTGTCAAGTTACGTAATTTAATTTGTGCGCGATTATTTTTGCTTGATTACATTTAAATACGCGATAGATTTGTTACTTAACGTATGAATGATTTATTACATCATGTTTTTCTACATTTAGATTATTTATCAAAGGTACTGAGTATCTAGCCAACCTTGAGAACGAAGTCCACAGTAAAATCACGTCGAGATTTCTTTTGCATGCTCATCATTTAAGTAGATAGGTATTGCACTGTTCTTTATTATCTTATTTCATTGTATCAAAGTACAATCAGTACGTATATACAAATAGAATATATATAACAATTATGGATGTCACATTAAAATGAATACGTTTTTTCTGTAAGACAAATTAAAATTATTTTATTGTGTTACTTTTTTTTATACAACTTAGAATGGCAAATAAGCTGACGTCCCACCCGATGGAAAGTGGTAACCGCTGCCTATAGACATGAACAGTACCATGGACATAACAGAGTATACTGGTACGCCCATGATACCCCCCATGCGTTGCCATTCCTGAGGACTCAGATGTTATTCCTCTGTACCCAGTAAATTCACGTCGTATCCCACCCTTCAAACCGAAACACAGCCATGCAAACACAACTGCTTCACGGTTAAAACACGAATGGGACAGAAGTACCCAAGCAATCGACTTTTGTACAAAGTCTTCACTTTTTAACACTTTTTTCCTTGTGCCATCTAAACGGGTGGATGATTTTTACTTGATCAATAGGATCCATAAGATAAAACGTATTCACACAATAATATGGGGATTATACTAGTATAAAAAGGCCAGTCGTGTTTCATTGCGTTTGTTACGTCACTAGGCTTGTTCTTTTTTCTCTGCGACTGGGAGACTACCTAATGACACAAGTCTAGCAACAATATTTGACTCGACATCTATTGAGAGTTCATATTTTTTTATTGTTATTGATTAAACTTTCATGGTCAGGTTCATACATAATTTTTTATCTATTATGCTTCAATCAAATCTACACGTGACTGAGCAATAAACATTTTTATAAACTTCCATATTTATAATATCAATAATAAAAAAAAGTGATATGAACATATGTATAATAGGAAGCAAAGAACATAGTGACTTTATCATGTTGATAAATCGTGAAATCTTAGTAAGTGTAATATGATTATAATTTTAATCGTCTTTATAAACATTTGTCGTTTATTGTTGCCGTGGTGAGATGTTTCAAATTTGGCCGAGCGTATTGGAACTCACATAAGAGACAGTTTTTTAAGCGGTGTTTCGTTACTGGAATTGCAATTAAAAATTTAAATTAAGTCGTATCGATAAAACGTTACGATGTTTTGATTTTCCGCCATCGATCAGTAAACTAGAAAAATAATTCTATTCCATATCAATACTATCTATTAGAAAATGAAATTTACGGAGTTATACTCTAAGTTCCTTTTTATGTTTCTGGTACGGAACACTAAAAATTACGTTGATCGATAACCAAAGACAAAATCCATAAAAAAGATTTTATACATTAATTTTTAAGCAACTAAATTATTATCGTCTATTAATCTGGTAGTGTCAGAAATAAGTAATTCTCTATATTTGGGTAAAGTGAGCATCGCAATGTATTCTGTTATATCTATAATGCTGTTTATGTTTATAGACGACGGCTACCATTTTCTATTAAATGGGACCATATGAGAGTATATACTCGTAAATATGATTGTTGACAATATTATTTTTTGTCCACAGTATTTAGAGTTAAGATTCAACCGCCATGTTCGAGCTGTGGCATCGGTACTTTTCCTATTGGACGAGGTGAGTGACACTCAAACTATCTTACCTTGCATGACATTGCTTTCAATTAAAATTTTAATCATACTAGTATTTATTAAATTCATTTCAAAGGTTTTATTTTTTTTATATATATTGTATTATTACTATTTGCAGCGCATGACAGTGAAACTAATTTTTATATGTACTTACTTCGAAAATTGGGGAAAATATTTAATAAAACAGATAAATTATATAATATTATTAGTTAATTAAATCTGTAACATTGATTTCGTTGTTTATGTTAATTATAAAAATTATACTTAAAAATAATTATAAATTTTTGTAAGTTTGATTTTTCTCATTACATTATGATTTTCTGAAAAGGGAGGATTTAGGATTTTAAGACAATGTAGGGGCGACCTATGTTCAATGGTGCATATTAAATAAGTAGTTAAATGACAATAATGAAGAGTGCTAGATTCTATTTAGAAGTAACTATAGAGCTCGTGATATCTTTGGCGTGGGTATTTATAAAAATAACAAAGATGTTCGATTATAAGATTCTATGATATTAGAGTAAACACAAACTGTGGATTTTTAATGCTTGGTTTTTTCCTCTTGCGGTTTTTAATTCATACGCTGAAAACCTTTGCGCGATTTTTTCCGCGATTGCCTGTGGCCTTATAAAATCTTCATAAATTACAGAAATGTACGGATAAAGTCTTGTAGTAAAAAATTATAGAGCGATATAATAGATCGTGTAAAAGAATCTAATATCAAATTTTATGCCCTTAAATCCAATAGTTTTTATTGTCCAGTAATAGATTAGATAGGATATTTTTTGTAAGTACTAACTAGCTGTTTGTTAACGGCTTTTTTATTACCAAAAACTGTAAAAAATAAAACATTAAAGAATTTACAAATGTCGTATATTTTTGTGTTATATTACGCGTTAGTCAATTAGTAATTCAGTATTTTTTAATTAGTGAATTTCTAAGTAGGTACTTAATAATAAATTTGACTAATTATAGAAACTAACTATAGTTTGTAAAATGTATTGTGTAGCAAGAAATATGCAACAATATATGGGCCTTGTGCTTTATACGTTAATTATTTTATTATATCGCGCTGTCTAATGACCTGCCTAATAAAGATATAATATTTTTATCTTATATACATTGTAAACAATGTCTACATCTCATCAGATTTAATACTACGTCTAATATAAATTGAAATTATAATTTGTTGTTGAGACAATTTTAATGAATTACAGTTTTGATATTTTTTTTTTTATGCAACTTAGAGTGGCAGATAAGCTGATGGCATACCTGACGGAAACTGGTAACTGTTGCCTATAGACGTGAGAAGTACCATGGACATAACAGTATACTGTTTCGACCATGATACCTCCCATGCGTTGCCATTCCTGAGGACTCAGGTATTACTTCTCTGTATCCTGTAAATTTACTACCTTATCCCACTCTTCAAACCGAAACACAGACACGCACACGCAAACACAACTTCTACACGGATGGGACAGAGGTGCCCAAGAAAAAGACTTTTGTACAAAGGCTCCTTCTGGTTATATCACTTAGCTGAGCTTTCATGCACGTTACAATTTAGTTAAAAATAGAAAGTTTAATTATAACAATACTATTTACAGTAGTTTATATTTGAAAGTATTCAGAGAGATTGACCCTACCGATTGACTCTTTCGATTATTATGACAAATCCCATCGTTTGTAAATAGCTGAACAAAATTTTGCGAATTGTATAGCAAACCGCAATACTATGTTAATTAGCTAATAGGACTAATATTTTCTATTTATCTTGACAATCTTAAACATAAGGAAAATCTTAGACATAAGTTCTTAATCTACTTATTATTCAGATAATCTTATTGTCATTGTTAATGATTTATTAAATATTATAATAGTGCATGTGGTGTTCGCCTATAAAAGACTTTTACATTAGGCAAAATTATTTTTTGTGTTATTAAGTTGCATGTAAAATGTAAAAGTTGTATGTGAACCTTATTAAATAAATAAATAAATAAATTTATTAAATTAAATATGACATCTTAAACATTAAACATTCTAAAGTACTAGATAGTTACGTCAGTCAATTGTTTAAAATACTGTTCAATACAAATAATGAACTGTACAAATAATGAAATATGTAGTTGAAATAAACAAACACCTGGTCCTTATAGGCCTATATAGAGAATAATATGTATCTATGTTATTAAATACCATATGACCTTTAAGAGAATTTGAACAAATGAATAATGGTGATCTATCAAAAACAACAGTGTGTGTAAAATGGGTCAATAATATGTTAATTCCATGCATACCAAAGAATAACAATCGGTATAATTTATACGTTCATAGAGATATTTCATTAGTCTATTTATTATTACTTTTGTTTTAATAGGAAAATACATTATAGATGTAGTTTGGATTGGATATAGAATTTTGATTTACTTAAATAAAATTAAACATGTAAAATATTGGAATGTGAATAATCTACACTTGTAATAAAATGCTATATATGTTGATTAATACAATGTTAGTATTATGTATAAATCAGCAATTCTTCATTAGCGTGTATATCGTTCGTTTTACTTACAATTGTGGACTTTGCCCACTTTGGTGTCGCTTGAATGTGGACGGTCAACATCAATTGTTCGCGAATGCGATCAATTGGTACATTTATGGAACACTTGTTAGATTTCTTCCACGTAACATAACTTATAAAAACATTATTTTTGTTTTGTCCAAATGCGTTATTAAAAACAAACAAAAACATTACATCGGTCGACTCTTTTAATAAGTCTTCTATCTTCTTCATATAGTGTCAGATTTAAGTGTTATTTACAGCTAGCTACTTTGGGAACCTGTTTATAACTGTTTTTACTAAGTTTAAACCCATCTACTTAATTCTAGTTTTTTTTATATCTATTGCTATACGTATGTATAAGTAAAGTAAGTATGTAATTAATAATATAACACTTGTTACCACTTGGGGGAAAGGGATTTTTAGTAATAGGGTCTAACAGTCCCATTGCTAGCAATATACCTTAATAGGTCGACCCTCACGTGCCCCACCCCCTGGAAACCATCGTAGTAAATTCTTGTGAAATTTGTCACAACGGACAACAACTGACCTGCTTTTGTCCATACCTATAATTTCTCATTAGTGCCTCGTCAGCGTATATCAATAGGGCGGGTTACCATGCCATTTTCATCCATAAAAAAACCTGTTGTTATAGTATATTGCTAGCAATGGGGCTGATAGAATCCATTACTAACAACCTAATAATCATATTATAGGTGAGGATGAAAAGGTTAGTTATAGGCAGCCAAGGGTACACGCTGTCTGTTATATAGTATTGTGGCAGGACACCTGGCCACGCAGACAAAGTATAAACGAATGTACTGATGAATCGTTATCGCAATCAAGTACATGAGCAGGAATGGGTAATATACAGCAATATCCATATATTGTAGTTACAATATCTATATAGACCGAAAAAAGATATGTTTTTTATTTTTTATTTATTTACACTTTATTGCACCAAGTAAAAAGAGAAATAACAAATACAGTAAATATTAATGAGAAGTGATACAAAAGGCGGCCTTATCGCTAAGCAATCTCTTCCAGACAACCTTTGGGTAGAGGACGTTGAGAAAAAGACATAGGGTAGGTGGCGCACTATTATATAAATATTATCATATACAAACATATATACATACATACATACACATACATATATAATATATACACAATTAAATATATACATAACATACACATACTTAACAACACACATACAACAGAAAAAAAATTACGAAGGAAAACGAAGAGAGAACACAGGAAAATAGTACTAAAGTGAATGGTAGTAGGATGTTAAATATCGGTTGTCCAATATATAATATTTAAATGAAACGAATAGAGATATCCTACAGATATAGGTGATATCGAAATGGGTGATGACCATTTTCCGCCATCAATTTTCAGAAAACCCAATATATAGACATGGGAGCGATACGGATATTACCCCTGCCTATTTATGATATAGAATGAGATGGCGATGTACGCTATCTTGTTCCATCTCTGATGCGATTTTATCGATACATTTGTTTGTACCTTGTCTAGGGCGGCCGAGAGTACTTGTTGAAGTATAATATTATTTTCTTTTTATAGTATGACTATTAAAAACTGGTGATGTATGTACGTAGTAATTATGTCGAAGGCAGAGCGTAGTAACTTGCCTTAATGTTTATTTTTATTTCGATTGCCAGCCAAGGTTGGTCATTATCATGGACTTTGACTATGACTCGTCCGTTACGTGAACATGCATCTCTAGTATCATTAAGAATACAATATATTCTTACTGATATAATTGTAATTAACCCAACTAAATTATGATTAACATACAAAGTTAAAAAAAAAAAAAAACTAAAGAAGTCAGGCAATTTGATATGACGTCACAAAAAGCAGATTCTGTTTCCTAGCCGTATACAAATAAAGATAATTTTACCTTTATTATTAATTCCTTTGCTACTACTCTATGCAATTTTTTTATTAGACTTAGAATGACCAATAATTCAGTCTTATACTGCCTTCTAATTTTATAGAAGTTAATGGTTTTCTTTCGTAATAAATATATACACGTATATTTATTAATATTTTCAGAATTTAATTCCATTATTTGTTTCAGGTATTATTCTTGCCAATGGTGGTTTATGTACCTGCGTTGGCTTTTAATCAATGTAAGTATTTATTTTTATTTAATAATGATTATGATGATGGATATATATTCATCTAGATAGTGTATCGAGTGTTAAAATGCAAATAGCATAGAGAAATAAAAAAAAAAAATCTGCTATTCTTTCATCTTGTAATTATTATTACCTAATTTGAATTCATAAGCCTCGGATGAGGTGGGTTGTGTAATATGAATTGATAAATATTTTTTGCCGTGCATCAAAAAAGGCATATTGTAGACAAATTATATGTTTCAAGTTTAATGTTAAGTATTAATATAAAATACAACATAAGAATAAAGGGAAGAATGGGATTGTTAGCAATGGAGTTTGACAGCCCCATTGTTATTAATATGCCCTATTAGGTCGACCTCCACGTGGTTCCCTCTGGAAACCATCGTGAACAATTCTTGTTGAATTCGTCACGATGGTCTAACTGACCTGCTTCATCCTCACCTATCATCTGTCACTGGTGGCCCGCCGGTGTATACCAATAGCGCAGGCGGGATAACCATTCCATTATCACCCATTAAAAAAAAACATAAGAATAAAAATGCTGATCTGTTCTGGTGCTGTGTTTATGATGAGGCTCTGTATATAAATAATTTTTATTTATAAATATTTAGTTTTTATTGATATTGGTATTGAATATATAATATGAATATAGCCTGCCTATCCTGCCATGCGTGACAACTACTGGCAAAACTCTCCATATGAGGAAGGCTTATGTTCAGCAGTGGACAGTTAACGGCTGAAAATAATAATAATAATATATAATATGGATATTATAATACAAATTTACAATAACAATTAAAAAAAAGTAATTGTTCACAGTGACGGGCTTGAATGTATTTGCGGTGGGCGGCGCTATGGTACTAATATGCGGTGTTTATACAGTATTAGTAAGTAATATAATATATTGTTTATTCTATTTCAAATATGTGTTGTTTTGTCTATTGCTAGGAATTTTATGTACCATGTGTAGCTGCGACCTTCTTATCTGTCACGAAACTACAATGCGTGATATATTTGCTATTTGGTTTGAAGGGTAAGATTGTTAGTATAATCTTTGACATCATAGATAGCTCTTTAGTTTACGGGTCTTTAGCAAGGGAGTATAAGGTATTATGTTTATGGGGTTATTTTATGCTCGTGTCTATAGATGAGCGCTATTGCTTTTCATTATACTGGCAATACTATAAATAAAATAGAGTATATGCAATAACAAAAAGGCTACAAAATATATATAATTTGTTATTTAGATAAAAATTAAAATAAAATGCATGTATTTAAATAGATATTTAAATATATGTATTTTTTAATATAGAAAATTTGACGACAACAACAAACAAAAAAATGTTAAACAATTAAAACAATTGGCAATCTAAGTATCATAAAAAATTACTTCGTCCTGAAATTAGTAGACGTTTTATTGAGGTCAATATACTCCCACAACACTTTCAAATGGTATAATATTTTTTCTAACTCGAAGGAGACTTCAAATTTAAAGGTTCGGTTATGCGATTTTGTAGTGATAAGTTATAGGTTTATATTTATATAAGGTTTATGAAATTATTAATGAATTATTTAATTTCTTCAGGGAGGTCTCCGTGCAGTTGTTTGGACAGACTCCGTACAGACCGGCATAATGTTCATAGGCGTGGTATTGGTAGCCTCAGCTGGTACGCTTGCCGTCGGCGGAGTCAAGTCTGTGATTAGTATAGCCAATGAATCCGGAAGGCTCGATTTATCAAAGTAAGTCTTCATTTCTACTCGTTCTAATATATATATACTGTAGGTATTTCGACCAAGTACGATCGTATGTATTTACTTTACTATGTAAAATACATAAGAGATATAGATATAGACGGTCGGTAAAAAAGAATGACGGCACGCCTCGGAGAACCAGACAAAAAATCCAAAAAATATCAGTAGTTGTGCAAAACAATATTTTTAAAAAGTTTCCATGTTTTTTGTTTTATGTATCCATTTTTTTTTCTTCTTTAAATATTTGATATAAATTTACACCGCGAATTTACTATTCATAATGGACTTTAATAAAATAATATTGATAAATAATCGCTTCAATCTGTTATAGTAATATATATAGTATAATTTACTGACGTTCTTATTATTTGAGCATGTGTATTATATATTTAATCAATTAAAGGTAAATTTATTTAATGATAATAAACACATTTTATTGTTTTATTACATAGACGGGGTTACTAAACTCCGTTTACGCTATCGGTATATGCTGGCGGGCTACTAGTAAAGAATGATATGAGATAGGTAAGTATAAAGGCAGATCAGTTGGCCTATCGTGACGAATTCATTAAAAATTAACTACGATGGATTCCAGAGAGATCGCGTGGAGGTCGACCTGATGGGTTACCTGACACCTTCTCAAGCCAATATCGTCAAGTAACGAAAGAATACTCTGATACGATTATATCTTCAGAGTGTAAACATGTTACACTACTCAAAAGGATTCTAGGAGGAAAAATAGAAGAATTAGTATTTGCTCGTTTGGTAGGACTCCACCTTGTTTACCTGTTGCCATGTTACAGCTCGTGATCTTGTTCGTATTATTTTATGGTCTTTGTTTTTTTAAGGTTTAAATTTAGTCAAACATGACTAGTACTACATACTCATCATCATTATTTAAAAAAAAATAAGAATAGAAAAATGCGTATTTTTTTTTATTTTTGGTTATTTAATCTTTAATGTCCAGTGAAAATGTATATACATTTGGCAGACTTAGCAACGGACGGTGTTCTCTATTAGTCAAAAAAATTGTAAATTTGACTATCAATTGAGAAAATATAAAATAATAATAGTTTTTACTATTGAAAGAGTCCCACGATTGATCAAGATCTTACCTGATGGAAAGCAATAATGTGGTCTAAGATGGGGCTCGCGGGCCCACGAACGTCCTATTCACATTTACCTTAAACTGTAGATAGATATATCTGCAGAAATTAAAAACATAAGAAGAAAGAGAGTTCCACTCCTTAGCCGTACGCATGGTGAAGGAACACGCAGAACGTTTCGTGCGTATAAATATTATATAATGATAATGAAATAATTAAACTGTATTAGAAGAGCAAATAAAACAATTTATGGCTCAAACAAAGTAATCAGCAAGATTAATTTTAAAGGGAAACTGAGAAAAAGTGATAATGAAATTTATAAAGTTGAGCCACTTAAGCTGAGCGCGATAGAGTGAGATATGGTCACACTTACGGAGATTAAAAATAAAATGTGTGCTATTATTGAGAAGACGATCCAATTTATTTAAGAGGTCTTCATTCATGTCTGTGCAGCAGACGTCACCGTAATCAAGTATGGGAAGAATAAGACACTATACGAGTAAGATTTTAGTACTAATAGGGAGAAAGTGTTTAAGTCTGTACAGATTGCGTACTGTGAATGTTATTTTACTACTAACTTTGTTAACGTGATTTAATCAACTGAGATTGCTATCAGATGACTGAATCGATGGTATTCATTTTTCCAAGTCGTGGTGTATTACCCATAATCAAAGCTCGGCCTTTAGCAGTAACGGAGATACCGATATCGCTCGTCCAGATAAAAATTTACTATTCATAAAATATAGTATATCATTCAGCTGATCAATAGTATTGTCGATTCAATCACCCTCTTGGCTTGGAAGTACATTTGTAAGTTGTCCGCATACAAGTGATAAGAGCATTTGAGGTCTTTAGTAATGAAATTAATAAAAATTTTGAAAAGTAATAGAGATAAAACAACCCCTTGAGGAACGCCGGCATCTATAGCATACCAGTTAGAAAAAAAAAACGACCGACACGAACAGCTTGCTGACGTACTCGAAGATAAGATGAAAACTAATCAACAGCACGAGAAGAGATAACAAGATAAAAAATCATGGCTAATGAAATGTCATGATTGACAGTATTAAAAACATTTGGTCGCGTACAACGCGGTTTCAGAGATGCTTTCTCCCACGAACACTCAGGTTATGGAATGAGCTCCCTGCCGAGGTATTCCCGAGAGACTACAGCATGGGGTTCTTCAAAAGGGGGTAAAGAGGTTTCTTCAGGGTCGGCAACGCGCGCGTAATACCTCTGGTATTGCAGGCGTTCATAGGCTACGGTAACCGCTTACCATCAGGTGGGCCGTATGCTTGTTTGCCACCTCAGTGGTATAAAAAAAAAAGAGAAGTCGAGAATCTCTCAAGAAATAAAATATTTTTAAATATAATTTGTTAAAAGATTTGTTAGCTTTTTATTGGGGATTTTTCATAAGTATAAATTACATAGATCTAAAAATTATTCAAGATCAATGTATTATTTAGTGATAACTATTTTTTTTCCTGTTTTTGGCTCCTTAATACTTTTTTTTTATTTATATTCTTAATTATTTTATTTGTTATAAACAGCTGGAGCTTTTCTCCGTACGAGCGTCAGACAGGATGGGGTGCGCTAGTGGGCGGTTTTCTCTACTGGACTTGCTTTAACTCTGTCAATCAAACTATGGTGCAACGATACATAGCTTTACCTTCTAAACGACAAGCAATTATGTGAGTTTAAAGCTGTCATTGATACCGTTTGTACGTTACATACTTAACTAAGACTGACATTTTATTAAATTGTTACATGTATTTACATATCGTCGTATGATAGTAATTCTAATTTGGAATATTTTATTATTATTTTTTGTACTGTACATTAATAATATATATATCTACACCACAGATAATATAATATTATTCTAAATAAAAGATCGCGTAAGAAAAAAGAGCGTCGTTTACAAGTAAGGGCTAACACTGCAGAAGACTTTGAGTTAGGTATGTCATTTGATAGAGAACTGAAAGGGGCGATAAAGAGTGAGGTTCATGTACACTAGACCTTGTACATTGTACACTTTCAAGTATATTTTAAATCTTTTAAATTTTCGCGACTGTCTGCACTTTTTATACATATTACAGCGATTATAATAAAACCGGTTGGCTCAGAAAAAGTAAATGATCGCTATAGGAACCCGTTAATTATGTCTATATTTTTGTTCTGAAATTCTTTTGTTTTATTCTTTTCTTTTTCAATTAATTATTTAATGTATAATCATACAATTGGCATCTGAATAGGCCTGTCCTGCTTGTGTATCTGTCTGCAAGTTGCACAGTTGTGGTTACATAGCTGTATCGATTTAAATGATGATAGAATATGGCAGGGTAATTACTGGATACAGAGGTATAACACCTTAGTTCCCGGAATAGAAATACATGAGCGTTACCATGAATATTATAGTGTTGTCGTATACAAGTCGTATAAAAAAAAATCAAAAATAGGTTAAGGCCATACAAAACACGACGTGAGACGGCCGTTAATATCGCCGTCCAGCCATTCACACATCTAAAATGTTCCAGTGCTTTAGGTATATTCTGCGTTGGCGCTATTCTGGCGATATCGTTGTGTGTATGGTGCGGATTGGCTGCGTGGGCTACTTGGGTCCTCGGCGGCTGTCACCCTGGCGGGGTACCGTTGGTGAATGACAGACTGCTGCCAGCGTTCGTCACATATGTCGCCAAGATTCAACATCTACCCGGGTTGGCGGGTGTATTTCTAGCAGGAGTATTCGGTGCTGGGCTGAGGTAAGTGCTAATTTAATTAATGTACCCTATTTAGTTATTTCACCAGTAAAGCTGCAATGGAGGAAGCAAGCGTAGTTGTGAATTTGTTAGAACAGTAAAAAGACTAGCGTCTCTTACATCAGGAATTACGATGCAAAAAGCATAATATCTTAGTTCAGTTATGATTTAATATAATTATTAGTTTATATAAACCGGTACTGTCCGCTGTTGAACATAGGCCTCCCCCATAAGGGAGGTAATTGCTATGTTTGGCAAGCGTGTTGGCGACTGCAGTTAGGTTTTGATAATATTTAAGAGGGATGCTGCTGTTTATCCCTTGACCATTAAATTCCTTTAGTCGCCTCTTATGACACCCACGGAAAAGGAAAGGAAAGGCTTTTTTATGCCGAGACCATACGGCGATGATTTAATATGAAACGAGGGAATGTCAATTACGTTTAATATAAATAAAATATGGACGTTTTTGTTTGTGTTTATAAAAACATCAGTAATGGAAAATTAGGCGAGTTGTCCGCTTGTTAATAAAAAAAATTAAGACCTTTAAATATTTTATCTGTTTTAACTTCTAAACAAGTTGGCCCATTACTTCTATGTATGTTGTTATGACTGTTTATTTATAATAACTGTTTGTGTTATCATATTAGTCGTCTATCAAAGTTGAAAACACGAAGTGGACACAACGTAGGGGAGATCCTTGCCCCGTAGTAGGACAGTAGTGGCTTCTAGATAATATTATCTAATAATGTACCTACTATCTAAGTCGTCAAACGTTATATCATATGATAAAGCAAAATCAAGACAAGCATATCGTAAACCGGATTTATGATAAGATCCATTGATTGATTTCCATTATTAAGTAGTTGTTTCCTGCGACTTCTCTTACTTGACCCTTCATTGCCCGTTACCATGGGAGTTATGTAGGATATAATTATATTTGAGAACGCCATCTACTTCCAAAATAAGCTGGACTTGTTGAGTTGGCTGATCGGTCATTAAAAAAATTGGACATGAAATACTAGATGACGCTAGAATCGAGGTTTGTAATATTTGTAATAAAAAATAATTAGAGGAAAAATTTCAAAATTGTCAATATATATATATACTAATAATTTATCATAATTTTTATTTTTATTCTCTTATATTGTACAACTTTATAAAAAAACATACTACCAGGAAACATTGCGATTGTGTGAAGTTATAATTCATTCAGGAAAAGATTGCGTTATGTCTGTCACTTTACATTCATACATAATAATAAAACCCACCTGCCAATTTAGACTATTTATTTTAAATTATCTTTAATTACAAAATAATCAACAAACGTCTCGATTTCAGCGCCATTTAGTGTTTGTTATATAATATTATTTAGTTGTTTAATGACTTTAATATACATGCTTATTTTTTTGTAACATTGTACATACATATTACATGTTAGGTTATACACAGAATAAACCCAGATCAATATAAACAGGCATATTCATGAATACAAATGTTTGTATTATGCGGGAATTGAACTAGCGACCATCGAAAGGCCAGGCACTGTGTTAAGTCGCTACACCTACAAGGCTGTCTAAGTAGTTTAGATTTAATAGTAGAGAATTTACTAATATTACCGAGTTATTTGACGTAATTTAAACGTGTGCTATGTTTGTGCAGCTTCCCTTCAAGATGATTTTAGTCGAGCGATGGTTGCAAATTTACATCCAAACACCAAGTTGTAGGTTTACGGGAAATTTGGTCGAACACTACATGGTTAAAATTGGCAAGATCACCTTATTTTGGAGGCTGCTTGCTGACGGTGTTCCGGCACGCGTTTTACACTCAGGATACTGATGTGTTCTTCAGTTCATTGTCGGCAGTGCTGAATGCGTGCGCCCTGGTGGCAGTTGAGGACATTCTGCATGGCTGGCTGCGGCTGCGGCTGAAGCCTCTAACAGAGGGACTGCTGGCGCGCTCGGTGACTGCGCTGTTGGCGATCATCTCCATCGTCATGTTGGTTGTTATTGCTAAGCTTGGTGGTGTACTCGGTAAGTTATCGATGAATTTATCATACATTTGCACATCATTTTACCATACTGTCAAATAAAGCAGGATGTTCTTTTAGTCTATGTAAAGGTTTTCACTTACCAAGCCATTAGATTTGTTTTGTTGGGTGTAAATGAACATTAAGCGGTCAAATCTTATATCAATACACAACAATCTTTGCAATTGAGTTTTGGGATCCAAAACCTCAGAATTTGCAAATTTATGTTTGCATAGTAAATAATAATATTAAAAATAATAATCATCTATTGCTTTGTAGTTTGAAACCTACTCGTACGTTAACCTAACATTTAGTAAGTCATATACTTTATTACCGAATCACTATGAAGGAACTGTTTCATTTTGGATATTTCGTTGTATTGTTACATAATGTGTTATGTCCTCTTTACTTTGTGGTCCATGACTTTTGATAATCAAAACATTCTATGTACTTGTGCTAGACGTAACAGAATGAATCACTATTTTAAAGCTATTTATAGTAGCATATTGTTTTGAACGATCAAAATATTTGCTCAATTATCCATCAACGTCCTTATAATCTTGTTATGTGACATTGACCATGACCAAATTTAGTTGGATGTTATTATTTTTTTACAAAATTAAACAAAAACAAAGGAATGTTGTGTTTTTGTAGTAATTTTATATGAATACATTCAACTGGTCTATTATAGCGTCTAAGTAACTATTTATGAAAATTTAATTGTTGTATTGTAAGATCATAGCTTCACTATATATTTATATATCATTTTTGTTGCCCAAAAGTTGCTTTGAAAAATTGTTTTTGGCTTAAACTTATTATAGTTTAAGAGCATTTCTTTGAATTTAATAATAATATTAATTTATTCGCATAAATATTGTTGAAATAGATCCTAATTATAGAATCACATATTTAGCCACATTGTTTTAGTGGCGGGCAAAATGTCTTATTTACGTGGATACGTTTTAGATAATTTTAGATCTTATAGTAACAATATTTATTCTAATTACAATGTAAATAATGAGTAGCAAATAGCATCTTAAATTTTTAAAACGTAGTATGATATAAATTTATTTGAATAATTAAAATGTCACAATTTTTTTTAATACAATTTTTTTTATCGAATAAAATCATTTTTTATGGGGCTAATGTTGCAAATAGATTTTAAAATGATTTAGGAATAGTTCCCGTCTGGAATGTTATAGTATAATTTTATTGTCATTGTGTATTTTATGTATTTATTCCGTGTGGTGATAACTAAAGAATACAATATATCACTTATTTTTGTTCTTTAAAGTCCTAAAAAGTGAAGGGAAATTAAAGTAAATATCAGTCAGTACCTTTATTTCAAGTAAAAGTAAGTTTCTTTAAAATAAAACCACAGTGTTGCGCTGTGGTCTGTACACCCCAAATTTATACAATTTTTATGAGGAAAGATGCATGCCCAATGGTGGGAAGAGAATAGGTTGTTATGATAATGATAATGTTATTAATAAATATTGCGGATATTCAATATAATATTGTATTTAAATAACATATTTTTAACCAGGTGTAGCAACAGCGCTCTCAGCTATCGCCGCCAGTGCTACATGTGGGGTATTCACCCTTGGCATGGCGTGTTGGTGGGTAGGACCAAGGGGGGCCATATTCGGGGCCATCGCTGGAGCACTGGTTGCGGGCACGACGTCACTAGGCACGCAGGCCGCCGCCGCCAGCGGCCTTAGGGCGCCGCCGTTAAATCTAACCGCAGAATGCGCGGCTAACTCCACCTTTAGCTTTCAATCTGTGGTGAGTTTTAATGTTATTTAGAATTTTTGTTTTTATATCCATATTTTTCCTGTAAAATAGTTAAATATGAGTTTGGATTAAAAAATATTTACATATTTATATCGAATTCTGAGCAGACTCTTATATATCTTATAGATATTTATCTTTTAATTTATAAAAAAAATATTTATAATTTCAGGACCCAGAGACAATCTTCCCTCTGTTCCGTGTGTCTTACCACTGGATCGCTCCATTGGGTTTATTCTCAACGTTGCTAGTTGGCGCTATTGTCGGATATTTCTTTGACAAGCATGATTCTTCTAAGATGGACGCCGAGCTATTCACGCCTGTTGTCTGGAGGTGGCTTCCAGCCGACTCCCACGAGATGGCAGGAGAAACTCGACGTATTATGGCCGCTAAAGCGGTCGATTCACCAGCGCCGTCTGCTCCCTTAATTCTCAACAGAATAAATAAGGTAACCTTTTATTTATTTATTTATAATTAAAACATGAGATATAACACGACTTATAAAATTATAATACAATGTATTTCCTCCCTTCTAGACCAATTCATAGCTCAGCGATAGGCATGTTGCTTTTTGTAAATAATGTCTCGGTTTCGATACCTGGTCGGGCCAATTTAGAAAACGCTCTTTTCTGTATTGGCTTAGGTCTGGGAGTCCTGGATAGTAACCCCAAAGTTTATCTCTTGGTCTCTAATAAAACTGGGTATCTTAGTTCGAGGACCAAGTGATTGATATGATTGTTTGCTATTTATTTTAATGTAATAACTACCAGTTTAACTTAAGAGTAATTTGTTTGAAAAAGCTCGATTAGTTTCGGGTCTATCCGGGACCTTTAGTCTTTAGCAGTTGTCTTTTTTGAAATGGATAATAATGTAATTATGACTGTGTAGATCCAGGCATAGAATAGGCCACCTTTTCCTTTCCCGTGGGTGTCGTAAGAGGGGACTAAGTGAGCTTATGGTGGAGGGATGGGCAGCAGCGTTCCTCTTAAAAGATTGCCAAAAGCCAAACTGCGATTGCCAACCCACCTGCCAAACGTGGCAACTACTTACAAAACCCCCGTTATGGAGGAGGCTGTGATCACCAGTACACAGTTAATGGCTGATACAACAATATAATGGTAACCCCGTGTGCGCTAATGGTGTACACTGGCGGTGTACCAGTGAGGAATGATAGGTGAGGATGTAGCAGGTAAGTGTGCTTATCGTGATGAATTTATTCGGAATTGAACCACGAGGAGGTCGACCTAACACGGTATATTGCTAGCAATGGGCTATTAATCCCCATTATTAACAATCCCTTCTCCCTCCGAGCGGCTGTATCGCGAGCACGAGCCTAACTGCGCGCTTCGACCTGCTGAGATTTATTATTTTGTATTTACCAGCATATATATAGACTTTATAAAGTTGCGGTTAACTCTGTTTTAGTCAACATTCTACCGCCAAGTAGCTGTGCATGCGTAGCTGTGTGTTATTTTAAGTTTTTTTTTTATTGGGTGAAAATGGAATGGTAACCCCGCCTACACTAACGCGATATGCTGGCGGCTAAGGGTGATCAATGAGGATGAAAACAGGCCAGTTAGCCCATCATGATGAATTTATCTGGAATTAATCATGATAGTTTCTAGGGAGAACCGCGAGGAGGTCGACCTGGTTGGGTATATATCTAGCAATGGAATTCTCAGTCTCCATTGCTAACAATCCCTTTCCCCCCTTATTTTAAGGGTTATATGATAGTGAATTTACGGGTATAAAGACAATACTTACTTACTTACTACTTAATCATAGCTTATGTAGTTGGAGCATCGAGCCTCATAAACAGGTCAACTTTTTGTCAGCTAAATGCCAAACTAGCTTCCTCATTTTTTATCAATGTTCTATATACCTACACATAAAATGTATCTTAACGTATTATTTAATAAATAAAATAAGTGTTTACACATTAAAAAGATGTAGAAATTATAACACAAAATAAATATAGAACTTATAAGGGAATCACTCAACTATTTATCACGCAAAATTGTATGAAAAAGTTGACCCGTTTTCTCGAAGCATTTCTGTGGGGACACTATCTATATAATCTAAGACTTTATTCTTTACGATTCACGTTTGCGCCATAAACATAGATATCACTCTGTAGTAGTGACAGCCATAGTTCAAAATAAAATATAGTTTATGAACTACGCTGTCTTTATATTCAGTCGTATACTAAAACGCCTGTACGATAGTAAAGAGCAAGATTGTAATTAGAACAATTATAACAATTGGAAGATTTGTAGGTACTTAATTTATTTTTATAAAAGTAACAAATTGAAAATATTTTATGGGTTAATAAATAAATTAATCAAACCGTTTGATTGATCTGCGAAAACAGAGTGGAATCAAATTTGTTTATTTTACACGAGAATAGATGTGAAAAAATAATATATTTTTTGTCATAATTATATCGAATTATAAAATATTACAATTTTCTTTTTCAGGTCGATGTTAGTGATGAGACCAGTAAATGAAGTGAAGTGAGGTGAGCTGTGATATAAATAAGAATGGACTTGTAGTAGTACTAAAAAGAAATACTTCTTAAAGAAGTCCTTATATTTAATGATAAATATACCTATATTTATCTATAAAATGTTGTCAAAATATTGTATTGAGGTGCTAGATTTAATAAATAAAATCATAGGTAAATATATACAATTTTCAAAACTGTCTAAAAAAATATTTAGGTACACTTAATATTTATACTACTTAATTATTAACTTAATAGTTAAATTTACATTGACGTACAAATTTTTCAGTTCGATTTATGACCAGTAAATGAGAAAAGAATGATACTGTTTTGACTTTTAATTAAATTATAAGATGTTTTGAGATGTTTTACTAGAATACATTATGGTTGGGACCAACTTATTTATCACTAGGTATTGAACTTAATATATACTAATTTAATTGTTGTGTGAGTATTATTAAAATGAAGGAAGTAAAAAATGAAATTTATTTATTAATTCTTGTTAGAAATTCACATAGTTATTTGCTGAAATTTAACGATGTTTTTTTGAAGTTTGGAATAAAATGGACTAAAGTAATAGCGACAATAAATTATATTTTTTATAAATATTGAAAATAATTTAATATAAAATATTTTATATAACATGTACGTATTTTTGTAATTATTATTATTTTACTGGCTGTATTCTGCGATTTTGCTTGCGTTAATGAGGATAAAAATATTCTATAAGTATAGTTTATCGATGTATCAAATTTCATTCAAATCCGTCCAGCTGTTTGAGAGAGAATGAGTAATAAATATTCTAACGTCCACATTAACCCTTCTTTACATAATGGTGGAAATTTCCATCATAACTTTGAATGCTCTAAAATTATATAAAAGAACAAGTTCACTTTAAGTTGATCGTATTTGGATAACTTTTTAATGTCCATTGCAGAAAAAAAACATAGCTGTCAAATTTATTTCTTTAACCATTTTTTCTTTAATTTTGAACATGTATTATATCACCTTGATTTATTTCACCAATAAAAAAAATCATGCAAAGAAGGGTCAAGAGGCTGGTGAGACTTATTTGGTACTTACTTAATTATATTTATACTTAAATGTTTTTTGTTATTATCTACCATAATTTTTCAGTCACGATATTAATTTTATTTTATATTTTATATTTTTTTATTACTTTTTACTAGTATCTATGTACTTTGATGTGGGTTGTTACTTAACTGTTACTTGTAAGTACAGAATATTTGACTATTATACCAGTGAATTATAGGACTTTGATGTTGTTTGTGGTTGCAATGAATATTCCTGTTTATATATTTATTTATTTATTAAGTGCAAGATGTTACGTTATAAACGAAATAAACCATAAGGCTTTACCCTTTACGAAAATTATATATATCGGAAATTACAAGATTTTAATTAACTACATAAAAGTTATCAATAATAGCATAGTCACTTATAAAAAAAAGTATATGCCATTGTATAGATGATAATGGGCGTATTGAGAGACTAAAGCTCACCCAATTGATGAAATGAATAAATAAAAACAATTGAGCTGTGAATAGTGTATCTAAGAGTGTATGGTACATATTATTTAGGTATAATACCCATATAATAAAAATACTATTTGATCAACATTAATTGCAATAAGTACCTACCTCCTAAAAATATCGAAGTATGTCATTCAGCACGATGCGCTTCGCAGAGATCGCATATACAGGCGGTTGCAATTCTAATATAAAAATTGTTGATATTGTTAATCATATTTTTATTGTCGTATTGCTGTGAATAGTCTCTCCTTAATGTCAAAGTGAAATTTATACTAGTGTTAGAACGTAGACTATAGTATTTATGTGATAAAAACTGGCTATTCATAATAGCAAATATTCTACAAGCAAATTGAGAAACCGTATTCCAATATTAACTGAGTGTCATAGTAAATACGTAGCATAGTATACTGAAGGAAATCGAGATCAGTAGGATACTTTTGAGAGAGTGTTTTAACAGTTAAACTAAACATTTTTCCTAAAAAAACATGTGTCGAAAGTACAAAAAGTTTTCAGCCTCACATGTTAATATGGAGCGTCCAATTCTTTATGATTTTTTTGGGGGAAAACGTTCAGTTTCGCAAGTACAACTCTAATTTCGATTTTATTCAGTAATGTTAGATAAGATTTAGTAATAAATATTAACATTCTATTATAATAGTAAACAATTCTGATAGTACTTATGTAATTCTTCAACATTTATACAAAAGTATTTATTATATATTTTTATAATACTGAAGTATTATGTACCTGATTACAATGGTAATTTATTTAGGAAATTTATTAACTATAATAATGTTACCAATTGCCATTGTTATATATTTATTAGGTATGTAAAATTTATAATGTTATTATAAATAAATAATTTAACAAACATTTATTGTTTCAATGTAGTTTATCTTCATGACAGTTTGAAATTGAAATAGGCGATATGCTGAAGAAGGGCCACATTAAAAGTACCCGTAACCGGCTAGAGTATATGAAAGGATTGATGAATGTGGAAGAAGCGAAAGAGGTTTGTTTGAATTGAAGCATTTGGCGTTCCATTGTTTCTGCCTACCTTAATGGGAGACAGGCGTGACAGATATGTATGTCTGTATGAAACTTTGAAATAAATATCCATCTTCCCTCTAGTTTCTGTAACTTATTATATTTAGTGTGTAGATAGCAGTTGTTACTAATAATCTTATCAGATTGATTTACGCATCGTTCCCTCTGGAAACTAATGTGGTTAATTCTTTGGAAATGCTTTACAATGAATCAACTGCCCTGACTTCATTTTAATCTGTCATCTGTTGTTAATATTGAGGTCTAATCTGAAAGCTAACAGATCTGTTTTCATCCTCACCTATAATTCTTCACCGGGTTTCTGCTAGCGTACACCAATAGCGCAAACGGGGTTACCAAACCTTTTTTAGTCATTATATATGACCTGTTACCGCTTACTGGTACCCTACCAGCGTATATCAATAACGCAGGCAATTTTAGTATAAAATTTCATTTTAATTAATTAAACAGAGTATTACAACGACATCTGTCGTTAAAAGTTATTATTTTTTTATTAAAGTTATTAGTCGGATTTTTTTGATGGGTGAAAATGGTATGGTAACCCCGCCTGCGCTAACGGGATACGCTGGCGGAGCATCAGTAAAGGGTGATCGATGAGAATGAAAACAGGCCAGTTAGCCCATCATGATGAATTCATCAGGAATTAACCATGATAGTTTTCAGGGGGAACCGCGAGGAGGTCGACCTGTTTGGGTATATTGCTAGCAATGGGATTTTCAGTCTCCATTACCACAGATAATATAATACTATACTAGCCATTACTAACAATGCAATTCCCCCTAATATAGTCGGATTACAAATACGAAAGAAAAATATTAATTTGAAATTGCAGGCAAATCAGATCATTAGACCAGTGGAATTGTAAAATCAAATATTAGGTATGTACTATATATGTTTCAATTAAAAGATTATATTTTATTCACATTCATAAGTTCGTAATCCCGACGGTACGTTCCAGTACGAATGTAAAACAGGTGTTGGCAAACTCACGGCGCGTGTGCGTGATTTACATTCTGCTCAGCGTCCCCATTAAAAGTACCACATAACGTGAAATTGTGGCAACTTGTCTTCAGAGATGTTCTTGGATGCGGTTGGATTCGAGAAATAGCGCGTAACTTACTTTTTATGTATTTATGTAATTTATGACATACATAGCAAATATTTTGGTGACCACTGTTATTATTAAATTAATGTTTTTATTAGATGTGTATTTGCTTCTTCACTTATGTGAAGCAATTATATAAACAGTAAAGTATTCTCTAGATTTTATCTGTATATGTTATAATCTATTCGTGTACCAAATTTCAATCAAATCCATTTAGTAGTTTTTGCATGACATAGTAAAAAGCAATCATTTATTTTCACAAACTTTCGCATTAATGGTAGTAGTAGTTCAGTATAAAAGTCTAAAGTAAAGAGGTTTCTTCAAGGTCGGCAACCGAGGCCGGTATGCGGCAGGTATCAAAGGCGTTCATAGGTTACGGTAACTGCTTACCATCAGGTGGCCCGTATGCTTGTTTGCCACCTCAGTGGAACAAAAAAATGATAAATTATAATTTAGACATTGTTTTAAAATGTTATAAGCAGTAAATGTAAAAATAAAGTTTCATCTTACAAATTTAACCAACTTTAATATTGATAGAAATAATACGAGATCAGCACGAATATACTTTCACTCAAATAAAAAAATAATCGTTGAATTTAATTTAGAACTTTCTCTTTTTTAAGCCCTTTGAAAATTTACTTATCCATTTAATTTTAAATTTCCTAGTTTATTTTATAACAAAATAGGCAATATATTTTCATATTGCCTATTTAATTTATATTGAGCCCTCTAATAAAATGGCGAATTTCTGACAAGAACCATCGTAAAACTGATTGTGGCGTCGAAAAGCCTCTCGCGCTGTGCCTCGATCGTAAACTGGATCGGCATAGGAACTGTTTAATTGTGTGCAATAGCTTCAAATGAAATTTGCGTAAAATGAAGAAATTATAAAAAGCTTGTTATCCATCCAAGAGAAAGAAACATACCAGATGTCGTATTACGAAATATTTTTACTGAATATATATACATACTTAAATTATTACTTCACAATAACTACAATACTTATTTGTCAAAATTTTTGGAGCTATAAATCTGAAATTGACATGTATAAAATATGGCAATAATAAATTATAGTTTAATTATTTAAATATAAAAAGATTGCCCAGATTTTTATTTCTTTTTATTTTAAAAGTGCGATATTCATTAGATACACATAGATATAGATAGTATAGATAGATAGATGTCGAATCCTAAAATGGTAAATTCAATGAACTGTATAAAGTAAATCAATAACACAAATTATTTTAATTAAATAGATGAATTAATACTTAAATAAATTAGCGAACGTAGAGATATAACTAAATACAAGTAAATATTTAAAAAAAAGCTAAAAATGGTGAAGATAAAACTTTAGTAGGTGTTACTCGGGAAGAATTTCTTGATAGAAGATTCTTGGTAATGGGTTCTAAGAGCCCTATTGCTAGCAATATACCCTAGCAGGTCGACCTTCACGTGGTTCGCCCTGGAAATTATCCTGATTAATTCTATTTGAATTCTTCACGATGGGCAATGTGTCCTGATTTCATCCTCACTTATTATCCATCACTGGTGCCCCGCTAGCGTATACTGATGACGCCAGGCAGTGTGATCATTCCATTTTCATTCATAAAAAATTGGTGTTATTCTAAATACACTA